CAGGGTGGCTTTAATTGTATAAGTCAAGCACATGTAATAACTTCAAAACCTGCAGTTAACAGGATAGCAGACATCAATCCTGGTAACCAAATATTAAAGATTCTCTTTAAAAAAGACTGAACATGTTTACAGGTTTGAATTAGGCTAAAAGGTCTTGCAGTGGCTTTTCATACCCCTTCAAATTGGAATGGAACTACTGTACTTTGCCATTTTTCTATAAATCAGTATTTTTTTTTAATTTTGATATAATACATTGTGGGAAAAAAGAAAATGGCTAATAAAATGTATTAAATCTTAAACAATGTATAAAGATTGTACTTAGCCAGTTCAAAGTGTATATTTATTCATAATGAATTATAACAGTTATATTTTTGTGTTTTCTTGTAAATGTTTCTTTTCCTTAAATACAGATAATTCATTTGTATTGCTTATTTTATTATGAGCTACAACAAGAGAACTTCAGGAACAAGTAAACTGTATTAGTATGGTTCAAGGTTGTTGATATAAACTGTCTCAAAAGGATGGTTGTTATTTTAAGTATAAATAGCTAATTGGGTGGTAGACCTATAAAATTAAATGCCTTGTATAAAATCCAAAATGAACACAGAATTGTTCTCACTTGTATTGACTTTATGTTGTATGATTCCAATCTCTGTTCTGTTTGGCACTTGTATTTAATTCTACACCTTTGTAAGACATTTGTATATTGCGGATGTGTTCATTCAAGCTATTTAATACCTGGCACTGTTAATACACAGTACTTTACTGTACAGACTGTTTTACTGTTTTAATTGTAGTTCTGTGTACTTTTTTTGAATGGGGCTGGCATGTTTCATTTGTTTTCTGGCAATACGACGTGAGAATTTCGAAGCGTTTTGTTGTAGATGCTAACGTGTCAGAATCCTTTACATTCAACTTTTCTAAGAAAAGCATTTTCAGTCTTGTAGTGTGTGCTTACAAGTAACTAATTTTGTTGAAAATGGTTTCAAGTTACTCAGATTTGTACAGGACTGTAAAGATTTGTTGACAGCAAAACATTGAAAAAAAGCTTATAGAATAAAAGCTATAAAGTATATATTAGGATCTGCAAACAGTGAAGAATTTATGTAATATATTGTACAAATGTAAGCAAAGGCTCTGAAATAAAATGCCATAGTTTGTGAATCATTGATTCTGTTTCTAAAAGATTAAGTAATTTTAGTTAATTTCTGTATGTGATGACAGATTGGAACATATATCTCCAGCCTGTGTTGTCAGGAGGGGTTAATTGACATACAAAAAGGGGAATGTTCTACCAAGAAAAATTAAAAGTCTGCTAACTAGATACAGGATTTATTAGGCATTCTTACATCTTTGCATAGACCATTTTGCTTGAGACTGAGCATTATGAATACTTAAGATTTGGAGATTTGTCTAAAAGAGAAAAGTCAAAAATTATTTTTCTTTAACATACTTGAAACCATTACCAGCAGCTGCCCTTTTTTTGGAGGTTTTTTTTTTGTATTTTAATTTACAAGACCCTTGTTGGTCTCTCATTAGCACACTGTACCCGTCGCACACTGGAATTGCTGGCTTTTGTTAAAACAGTAGTCAGTAGTCAGCCCCCTGCCCACCCCTGAAAGAGTCCTGTTTAATTGGTTTGGGATGACACCTGGATACTGATCTTCTAAAGGTCTGCAGTAATGTTAATATGCCTCGGGACTGAGAATCACTGATTAACTTCAAACCTTTTAAGATCAATAATTCGCAGGGGTTTTTTGTCCCATTTAGTGAACTTTTCTCAAAAAAAAGAATTCTTTAAAACAAAAAGAAAATACTCTATTTTAAGGGCTAGAAAGCTCAAATGGGTATTTTTAAAGCACCTTTGGGATGACCCATTATTTGCACAGAAATTAGTTTAACTTTTAAGGGATAAATTAAAAAAAACTATGGAATAGTGCATCCCAAAACTACTGTCCTAAAATACTGGATCCCAGAAATGCTCTGGGAGTTCATTGTCAGATGTATTTTGGAAATGCTGTGTATAGCACATTCCCTTCTTAGAGATTCAGTGTTAACATATTAAAAACTTTGAGAAGACCTATAAGGAGACACCTGGCCAAACCTTCTTTATCCTACTGTCTTAAGTCTTAGCTGATCAAGAAACCCTGTTTCTCAAGAAACTACTAATATCATCTACTTTGTGTGTTACAGCACTAGTGTCCTAAAGGAGAATGATTCCAAACTTCGCTGGAGTTTTACACCCCCAGGCTTCTCTGCCCTCTTCCTGCCTGTCCTCCCTTCTTCCCAGCCTCTCGGGAGAGTTGGAAGAATTTCATCGTGTTACTAGAATTTGACTTGTTTTCTCCCGATGACTCAAACTGTATTTTATCAACCTAGTTTACAATCTATTATACAATTCATATATTTTTTTCTTTTTTATGGTGTTCTTCCAAACTTTTTTCTCCTACTGAAATACTAACCTCAGGGTGAGCTCTTGTTACATTTCTTAACCTGAGAGATTAAGGAAGGTGGAGCAGAGTCCATGAACCCCTGACATTTTTGTTTGTATTTTTTTAACTTTTTAAAAATTTATTGATTTTAGAGAAGAAAGGAGAACAAGAGAGAATTTGTTGTTCTACTTATTTACACATTCACTGGTTGATTCTTTTATGTGCCCTCACTGGGGATTGAACCCATGACCTTGGTGTATTGGCACATTGGTCTAACCGACTGAGCTACCCCACCAGAGCTTGTTTGTATTTTTCTATGATGAGTCCATATACTTGAAGAAAGTCTTCAAAAGGATTAAAACCAGTTCTGAACAGCAACGGGGATCATTTAATTTTAACCTGCTATTTTCAGAGTTTTGGCTAACAAGATGGGTTTTGTATGTATAAGACGTAATCCCCCAGAGGAGTAGTTTCATGGTTTAGTTTTGGAAGTAGCACACAAGGTATAAAATAGTATATCGAACAACTCCCTAAGAGGTTAAGGGAGCATTGTATGAGCATACAAGAATGTGATGGCTGGTGCTCTGGTGACACAGGAGATACAAATCTTAACATCCAAGGTGGGGGTGGGGGGGTGAGTCACTGGAAATGGCATATGTTTAGGAAGAAGAAGGCCAAAATGTGAAAAGGTTGCAGTGTGTGGACAGGAAGTGATTTTTTGGATAATATTAGGCAGAGTGGGTAAGGAATGGGATTGGGTGACATAGATGGAGATACTTGAGTAACACATAGGGAGGGACAGTTGGATTTTTCTCATCTTTGTGAAATACCATCCATCACAATTATGAAAAATCAAAATAAGGGGCTCAAAAGTCAAAACCAGGTCCAAGCAGCTTGATTTTATTTTTTTCTTGAACTTATCTGAGGTTGTCTATAAAAGGTCACATATATGCCCGGTGACTTCTGTAAAGCAGCTTTCAAAAAGCCAAGTCTATGAATCTATGTTCCCATAGATTCAAAGTCAAACCCTATTTTACCACCAGAACTATTGAATTCAATGATTTATCTAATTACAACCTAGTAATTGGGTTGGCCAAAAAGCCCGTATGTTTTTTATTTTTTGTAAAATAAAAGACACATTTTTCATTTTCACCAATAACTTTATTGATTTGGGTATTTTGAAGTATGCCAGCTTTCTCCCACTATTGGCTTCTAGTGGGTAGAGGCCAGGGGTATTGCTAAACACCTTCCAATGCGTAAGACAGTCCCACAGCAAAGGATTATTTGGCCAAAATGTCAATAGCACCAAGAAGCTTTGCAAAACAACTTTTGACACATTCGATCAGTCACAGCACCTTCTCTATACACTGCACAAATCTTTTCTTGCGTTTCAGTTGCATCTTTACCTTTCTTGAAACAATAAAGCATGACATGCCAAATATGTGTATCTTCAATATTAAAATGACTACAAAAATTAATCAATTTTGATAAGCTTTTTTTTTTAAGTATTTATTTTTAGAGAGGAAGGGAGGGAGAAAGGGAAACGTTGATGTGAGAGAGACAGTGATCAGTTGAGCCTTGCTTGTCCCCAGCTGGGGACCAGGCTTGCAACCTAGGCATGTGTCCTGACTGGGAATTGAACAAGCAACCTTTCAGTTCACAGGCCAGCATTCAATCTACTGAGCCACACCAGCCACAGTGGTAAGGTTTTTTTTTAATGCAGGCTGATATGACAGCTGTCACAATACAGTTTAACATAATGTTTCAAATGAAGTTAAAGACAACCAAGAGCTACTAGAGCCATCTTATGGAAAAAAACTAAACGAACCTTATGGCCGACCCAAAATTTATCTTTTATTACCTAAAAGTCAATTTATGAAATATTCACTAGATATAGCAAATAAGGTAGAGAATATGGGATGAATACAACACTCATTCACATCTAGAGACACTTTCAATAACATTAATGCAAATACTTGAGGCTCGGAAAAATATGTTCATATATTGTATTGTAAATGCCGGGAAATTTCTATAATGAAATTGTATCTAAGGTGATCTTTGAAGGATGCGCACAATTTTGCGGGTGGAAATGAGGAGTAAAGAGGAAGAGGGCAAGTTGGGAGAAGGAATAACGCGAAAAAAGAAAAACGAAAGGGGAAAAAATAGAAAAAAAAGGCTAGAATGAGAGTTTGGAGGGAGATGAATCTGAGAAGCTAGACAAAAAAGCAATTTGGATTGCCAAAGCATCTTTTTTCCCAGTAGAATGGCAGGTTAGAGTGGCGGTCTCGAATTGTTTTTAACTTTATTTTGAAATAATGTTCAATTTCGTAAAAGCGCACGAGCAGAACCAAGTCTGTATACCCTTCACGCCCACTCGCCATTTGTTAACACTGTTATCCGCATCCCTGCAACCGCCTTCCTTTCCAACAATTTCGGGGCTTCGAACATGCTCTCCGTCTGCTGGGACTGACCCCTCCAGACTCGGCCTGGCTGATGTCATTCACACTGAGAACCTCGGCTACTCCCGTGAGACCCTTCACTCCCCGAGACTAGGTTTCCAGCAGACGATGGGGGAAGAACACAATTCCCAAGTTCGGCCCCGCCTCTGTTGTCTCCCTACAGCGACTCCCCCGGCCGCCAGAGCGGAAGTAGCGTAGTTCCGGGCGGAAGTTGCCGGGACGCGGAAGTTTGGGCCCTGTGCTGTGGTTACCGGAGCCTTCAGACTGAGCATGGCCCTAAAAGGGAAAGGCAAAGGGAGGAAAAAGGAGAGTGTCGCGGCGGGGCGAGTGGCTTGCGGCCCGGGTCCCTGGGCTCGGGCGGGTGAGCGGAGCCGCGGAGTCGCTGAGCCTTTGGCGTCGGTCTCTGGGCGGAGCCCGGGCGGCGGCGGCGCGAGGCCTCCGAAGGCTGACTACCTGGTGGGACAAGTGGCCGACAGCTTGGCCCGAGGCGGTCGGCGCTCTGGAGGCGGCACTAGTCGGCTGGCGGCGCTCTTCCGCTGCGGAGAATCGCAGCTCCAACCCCTTTACGTGCCTCTGCCTCCCGTAAGTCACGGGGTTGCGTGCTCCACGGCCTGTCCGAATAGCTTTAAACCAGAGTATGGCTGGGAGGACCTGGTTCGAAGGCGGGGCGTAGAGCATTATTTCTTGCGGCCTTTCGTCTCTGGGCCTGTCCGTGAAAGAGAGAGGATGCTAATTTAGGCCACTAATTATCACAAAAGGATGCGATCTCACACATAACTTCACACTTTTAAAAGGGAAACACCAAAAAAAGGAAGCGGGATGAGGAGGAAGAAAGTGCATCCCAGATTCAACGGCCACTTTTGCAAGAACCTGCAAAAAAAGTGAGGGTGAAGAAACTTTCTGATGCAGACAAACAATTGGCCTACAGGTTGGTAAATTTCTCTCTTAGTTGATTAAAGAATTTATATGGTAAAGAAACGGAGATTTTTTTAAAAGAGTTTATCTTTAGAGGGGAAGGGAAGGAGAGAGGGAGAGAAACATCAATGTATGGTTGCCTTTTGTGCGTCCCCTGCTGGGAAGTGGCCTGCAGGGAACCAGCCTGCAACGCGTATATGCCCTGACTGGGAATCGAACCTTGATTATTGTCTGGTTCACAGGCCCGCACTCAATCCACTGAGCTACACCAGCCAGAGCAAGAAACGGAGATTTTTAAAAATAGCCATCTTAATTTTTTTCTCATTTCATAGTTCTAATTGTAACAAAATTTGTACTGTGGAAAACCTCATACGTATTCAAAACTTGAAAAGATAATGACCCCCAGGTACGAATTCTGGGTCAGTTGTCTTCATCTTCACCCATTTATATCCCCACCCATTTGTATCCCCTTATTTGGAAGCAGACCGAAGACTTACATTTCATCTATAAATATTTCAGCATTTTTATAAAAGATGAGTTGGTTTTCTTAAACATATTCTGGGAGCACATTCCCCCCCTTTTGCTCAAGTTTTGTTCTTTTTTACAGTGTATTTGAATAAGGATCCAAATAATACCGACACAGGTTCCCAGTTAACTTTCTTTTTAGGTCTCACTAGGTGGTCTTTTTGCCCATTCTGGAAGCTATTGATTGCTAAGGGTTGGAAACTACTACTTTTTATTCTGCTACTTAGTATATCTATGCATATCCTTAATTTCTATAGCTCTGCTGCCCACCATATAAATGTACCTAAAAGTCTCATCTAAAAAAAAAAGAAATCCAACCCAATAAAATTCTTAGTCTAAGTCATGTGTCTTTGTTTGGCATCATTCCCTCTGTCCTTCCCTTCACAGTCAAGCTGTCAGAAGTTGTCTGTGTGTGCGCTCTCTCCCTTTTCTTCGTCTGTTTTCTCATTCACATTTTTTTTTAAGATTTTATTTATTTATCTTTAGAGGAGAAGGGAAGGAGAGAGGGAGAGAAACATCAATGTATGGTTGCCTTTTGTGCATCCCCTGCTGGGAATGGGCCTGCAGGGAACCAGCCGGCAACCCGGTATATGCCCTGACTGGGAATTGAACCTTGGTCCCGCACTCATTCACATTTTTGCAGTCTGTTGGTTGTGTTTGTTTTTATGGGATCTGACCATATTTCTGAAACAGTGCTCACTGACACCATCCTGTCCTACTTGTCATATTTAATAGGCAGTACAGACTTTGTCTTACAAGTTTTCTGTTTCATTAAAATTTTTTAAATTTATTGATTTTACAGAGAGAGAAACATTGATTTGCTGTTTCACCCATTTATGCATTCATTGGTTGATTCCTGCATGTGCCCTGACCAGGGATCAAACCATGACCCTGGGGCATGGGGATGGTGCTCCAACCAACTGAGCATAACTACCTGGTCAGGGCTTCTCTGTTACATTTCACATGACTGCTTTTCTTCTCGAAGCTGTTGGTTTCTTCGATAGCAGCCTCTTATGATTGTCTTTTTGTCTGCTACTTTTCAGTGTTATTTTTGGTACCTTTTCTTCTGAAAAGAATAAAATACATATTTTTAAAAATATTTTATCGATTATGCTAGTGCAATTGTCCCATTTTCTCCCCTTTACTCCCCTCCACCCTGCACACCCCCTTCCACCCACATTCCCCCCCTTTAGTTCATGTTCATGGCTCATACATATAAGTTCTTTGGCTTCTCCATTTCCCATACTATTCTTACCCTCCCCCTATTTTCTACCTACCGTCTATGCTATTTATTCTCTGTACCTTTTCCCCCTCTCTTCCCATTCCCCTCCCTTGTTAACCCTCCATGTGATCTCCATTTCTGTGGTTCTGTTCCTATTCTAGTTGTTTGCTTAGTTTGTTTTTACTTTGGCTGTGGTTGTTAATAATTGTGAGTTTGCTGTCATTTGATTATACATATTTTTTATCTTTTTCTTAGATAAATCCCTTTAACATTTCATACAATAAGGGTTTGGTGATGATGAATTTTTTTAACTTGACCTTATCTGAGAACCACTTTATCTGCCTTTCCATTCTAAATGAAAGCGTTGCTGGATAGAGCAATCTTAGATGTGGGTCCTTGCCTTTCATGACGTGGAATACTTCTTTCCAGCCCCTTCTTTCCTACAGGGTCTCTTTTGAGAAATCCGCTGACAGTCTGATGGGAACTCCTTATCTCTAGCTGCTTCTAGGATTCTCTCCTTAATTTAAATCTTGGCTGATGTAATGATGATGTGCCTTGGTGTGTTCCTTTTTGGGTCCAACTTCTTTGGGACTCTTGGCTTCCTGGATTTCCTGGAAGTCTATTTCCTTTGCCAGATTGGGGAAGTTCTCCTTTATTATTTGTTCAGATAACTTTTCCACTTGTTGCTCTTCCTCTCCCCCTTCTGGTATCCCTATAATTCGGATGTTGGAACATTTAAAGATGTCCTGGGGGTTCCTAAGCCTCCTCATTTTTTTGAATTCTTATTTCTTCATTCTTTTCTGATTGGATGTTTCTTCTTTCTGGTCCACTCCACTGATTTAAGTCCCAGTTTCCTTCCTATCACTACTGGTTCCCTGTGCATTTTTCTTTATTTCACTTAGTGTAGCCTTCATTTTTTCATCTGATTTGTGACCAAATTCAACCAATTTTGTGAGCATCCTGATCACCAGTATTTTGATCTGTGCATGTGATAGGTTGGCTACCTCTTCATCACTTAGTTGTATTTTTTCTGGAGCTTTGAGCTGTTCTTTCATTTGGGCCTTTTTTTTTTTGGTCTGGATGTGCCTGTTAGGTAGTTAGGGGTGGAGCCTTAGGTGTTCACCAGGGCGGGGCAACACATGTGGTTGCTTTGTGACGCTGTATGTGAGGAAGGGGTCCGAGAAGGAACAGTGGCACTTGCTCTGCTCTCTGCTGGATTTCAGTTACTTCCCTGCTTCCCACAAGCAAATTGGGCCCTTCTGGTGCTGATTCCTGGTGGGTGGGCTTGTGTATGTTCTAGGACCCTGTGGGTCTCTCCACTGAACTCTCCTGTGAGGCTGGGACTTTCTCCTGGCACCTCAACCCCCAACCCCCACTGGTGTTTTCAATTAATGGTTTGAGGCTTTATTTCCCCGCCCTGGTACCCTGGGTTGTACGGTCAGTCCTGCTCCCCAGTTTCACCTGGTTTATCTGTGCATAAATGTGGGACCACTGGGGCCGTCAGCTGCCACCTTGCTGCAAGTCCTCTCCGCCTGGCAGCTCAACTCTGCCCCTCCTACTGGTCTGGATGAATGTTTCTTCTTCAACTCCTTGGTTGTCGGACTTCCATGCGGGTCAATTATCTGGCAGTTCTGGTTGTATATTTCATTTTTAAATTTGTTTTTATCCTTCTTTTGGTTGTGCTAGGAGGCACAGTGTGTCTGTCTACGCCTTCATCTTGGCTGGAAGTCCTTACTGCTTCTTAAACAATGATTTTCCTGAGGATTCTGTTGGCTGTCATATCATGACCTTTTTTTTCACCCTTCATCCTGGGCCATGTTGTTTGTGCCTAGGAGCCACCATTCTGACCTTGTTCCTGATCTCTAGACCTGTGTGTCTGTTTGCCAGCCAGCACTGGTGAATTCCATGCACACCTTAACTTCAGAAGTCCTCAGACTGACCTGGTTGTCCTCATCAAGCCTGTGCTCTGCATGGGTGAGACCACCAGCCTGCCAGGGGCTTGGGAGTCATCTGACACTCCCACTTTTCCCTGAAAATCTGACCATTTGCCCAGTCTTGAGGATGCTGTCTGTTAATTGTCTTTTAAATCTGTCTTCCCCCTCTGCCTCCTCCCTTGCTCTGGCTGGTCCATGATCTTCTTAGCTACATGCAGTTATAACTGTCTCCTTGCTGGTCTTCCTGGTTCAGCCTTCTCCTCTTCTAATTATCTGCTCTGCTGCGTACATGATCTTTTTTTAGGCATTTTCAAAGTCTTCAGTGGCTCTCCATCCTCTGTAGGCACCATCCTGTAGACCTGGTTCCCACCTTACTGTGCCCTCTCAGTTCCTTTCACTCCTGCTGGGTGCTTTTGTACACCACAGCGAGCAAAACGTTCACATGGACCTCTCCTTAGTGGCGCTCAGGCTTTAGCGGAGGGATAGTAATCAGTATTTGCTGCAGACTGACTGTGTGGCAGCCGCTGCCTTTCCTCTGAGGGGTCTTTCTTGTTTCTTTTTTCTTAAAGATTTTATTTTTATTTATGTTCAGGGAGAGAGAGGAAGAAAGAGAGAAGGAGGGAGAGAAATACTGAACTGTGAGAGAAGGATGTGCATTGATCGATTGCCTCACATTGGGACCTGGCCTGCAATCCAGGAATCGTGTGCCCTGACGGAATCGAACCTGTGACCTTTCGGTTCACAGGTTGGCGCTCGGTCCACTGAGCCACACCAACTATGGCTCTTTATGTTTCAGGATTTCTATACCACATATTATAAGTGTTACCATTTTATCATGAACTTTTCATATTTCTTCAGAGACTGGACTTTCTAAAGGACTTTAATGGTCTCCACTGGGAGAAGCTAGAACTAGTAGGAACCCAGGAAATAATGAATGAATGACTCCTACTTGCCATTCTCTCCCTTCACTCCTTAAGATCCCGGATCAGTTTTCTTGTTGGACTGATGCTCAGACCTCGCTTTATCCATGTGCCCCAAGACTGTATATTGTATTTGCCATTTCAGTACTTACTTTCGACAAGCAGAACTAGTTTTTCCCATTGGCCAGATTGCTGTTATAAGGTACTTTGCAGGCATGTTGACCTTTATAGACCCCTAGGGGGTGCTGCAGTACCCTACAGTTCCAGAGCAGGGAATGGAATTAGGCATTGAAATAGTGTCAACTAAACTCCAAGAGCACTAAATAAACCCACTTTTGTTTAAATGAAATTTTGTTGTTCTGCTGTTACTTGGCAGTTGTAACATATCTTCCAAAATGGAGCTTAACTTTTTCTGACTGTTGAGTCAGAAAGATACTAGTCTCCTTTTGATAACGCTACTTTTAAAATTTAGATATATTTTAAATATTTTATATTTATATATATTTTAAAATATATTGGTGGGTGGTATGTTGATACGGAGGAAAGCCAGAAATAGGTAGGAAGTGTTTCTAATCACTGTGCTTTGTCAAATACTAGGCCTGACTTTCATGACTCATTTCTTCTCCCCTTCCACCTTTTTCTTCTTTTTTTGCCTTAAAAAGAGAAAATGCTCTAGCAACTGCTGATTTAGAAGAAGAAGAAACTCACCAGAAACAAGGGCAGAAAAGGAAAAAGTCTCAGCCTGGTGTTAAAGTAGCACATGAAAAAGTACTTGATGATGTAGATCATCCAGCTGTCAATCAAAGGAAGAAAATTCAAATCAACCCAGAAGAAGAGAGGTTAAAGAATGAGAGAACTGTGTTTGTGGGAAATTTGCCCGTCACATGTAATAAAAAAGTGAGTGTGTAATCCGTATATCATAAGGATTCAGAGAAGGTAATAACTCGTAACTTTGTTTACTATTCCTTTATTGAGTAAGCGCACGGTAAGTCATTGATATCTAACTTACTGATGTAGCAGTAGGTATTTTACTCCTGACAAGGAGGTATCTTATAAACGACGTAGCAGCCCTTACTGGTGTGGCTCAGTTGGTTGAGTTGTTCCACAGAGCGAGAGGTCACCTGGTCAGGACACTTGTCTGGGTTGCAGGCCCAGTCCCCGGTTGGGGCGAGAGGCAACTGATTGATGTTCCTCTCCCTGTCTTTCTCTCTCCCTTCCCCTCTCTCTAAAAACAAATAAGTATGTAAAGCCTTTAAAAAAATTTTTTAAGTGACTATATAAATCATTCTGTATATTGCTTCCATTATCCTTTCCATTCCCATAGTCACTGCCCTAATTCAGGCTTTTACAAATCTTATTTTATTCATTTATCTCATTTTCATTTTTCTTTATTATTGTTAACGCTATCACAGTTGTCCCCACTTTTTCCCCCTTGGCTCACCTCCCCCCACCCCGTTGTCCATGGGTCATGCATGTATGTTCTGCAAGTCTTATTTGAATTCAGTGACCCAGACTTACCTTCTGTCACATGCCAGTATGTGCAGGGGTGTCCATCTCTGTCCCTCACTCTCTTCCTGGCACTTGACACAGCTCCCCACACACAGTAGAGGCTCAGTCCACCTTTACTGTGTAACTGAATGAATACATCCTGGGTTTCCTCCATGACGTGGGGCTCACTAAACCAAAACGTGCCCTTTCCTGTCTGCGAGTTCTTGTGACAGTCACGCCATTGGCGGTGTCTTACGTCGAAATCCTGCTCATCCTTTTTTTTCAGTGTTCTTTAAATGTTTTAAAAATTTATTTTCAAAGGAGAGAGGGGCATCGATTTGTTGTTCCAGTTATTTACGCATTCATTGGTTGCTTCTTGAATGTGCCCTGACTGGGGATCAAACCCACAACCTTGGTGTATTGGGATGACGTTCTAACCAACTGAGCTACTTGGCCAGGGCCCTGCTCATCTTTTGAAGGACAAGTTAAGTTAAAAACCAAACAGTACCAAAAAACTGACTTCCTGGTTTATCCCTTTCCCTCTTGCACGATTATCTCCTAGCATTTGATTTGTGACTATTTGTAGAATAGTTTTCCTTATTGGTCTTCCTGTTAAATTATAACAGGCTTCAGGGAAACGAGTGTGTGTGGCGCTTTGCACATTGAAAACCTTACTTACGCATTAGAATGGATTGTAATTCTAGCTGTGAAACATGTATTCTTAACATCCTGAGCCAGTCGTTGAAAATAATATGTAAAATTCACACCATACCTTTTTCTTCAGTCCTGTGGTCCTGATTCCAGACAGCTGGGGAATTTCTCATTGTGACATAAGCATTAAAATTCACTTCTAGTGTAAGCCAATGTGAAAAGATGAGAGGATCTATGAAATTTATAACCTTAGTTTAACATGTGGTAAAGATTATCAAAGACTGAAACACTAAAATGTTGTGTACCTTGTGAATACTTAACATGAACTTATATTGTGTTTTCTTTTTCCCTAAGTTTCAGTGAAATTGGTTTGTCTTCCAACTTGAATGTCAGCTGCTTTTTCTGAAATGTTCTTAAAATAAAGCCTGGCAGTAAAAGATTATCAGACAGTTGAACTTGATACTTTTTGTAGCACTTACTTGATGTTCCGAAAATAAACTAAAGTATGTACATATTTTTTATTTTAGAAACTGAAGTCGTTTTTTAAAGAGTATGGACCAATAGAATCTGTACGATTTCGTTCTGTGGTATGTTTTCTTTCCCCTTAAACTTACATAATCTTGAGACAAAAATGCATTTAAATCAGACTCATTACCATGGTGACATTAGTGAGGTGGGTAAGCACTTGACTTGAACCTTTTGAATCAATTTGCTTGTAGTATTTGTTGCTGACTCTCATCTTCGTTAAGTAATTCAGTGAGTCCACACAGTAAATGATACCTGTGTAACTAAGACCAGCACTGTATTCTGCAGGGCAGACGGGTGACTTGTGTTTGCCACATCAGTGGAGTAGGGAGGAACATTAATACTTACTGAATAGCATTTCTGCAATCGTAGGCTTTCCCTGTGGGCATTTGTGTGGCTGCTATGCACAGTACTTGCTCTCTGAACCTAGAAAGAGGAGGTATTTTTTAAGAAGTCTGTTCGGTGTTAACACTGCACAAGTAAGTGGTATCTGACTTCACCAGGGGAGCATCCTGGAGACCAGTCAGAGCCGTGCTTCTTGGAGCCGAAATGAGCATCATTCATATCTTTTAAATTTAAATAATGTGTGTTAGAACCCAGGAAATGTTATTTCTCGTCTCTAACTGTTTCTCATGTGGTTCTCTGACATGGGATTTCCCAACTGCGGCACTGTTAACATTGTGCCAGTGATTCTTTGCTGTTGGAGGCTGTCCTGTGCATTGTAGGACACTTCGGATCACCCCGCCCACCCCATCTGTAACAACCAAAAATATCTCCAGACATTGCCACGTGTCCCACAGGGCAAAACTGCCCCCGTCTCTAAGAGGAGACATTTCCCAAGGCTTTATTTAGCACAGTTTCCAGAATTTTTATCATGGTGGTTTTTCCTCACTTTTGTCACATGTTTTTTCTGCCCTTCTGAGTCCCACTTCCCCAAATAATATGCACTTGGCTGTCTTGCCAAGACCCCTGTGCTTTCCCCATTTGACCTGCACCCCAGCCTATGCTGCCTAATGCATTTCTATATGATTCAATACTACCAGGCTGCCTTGTCATTGCCCTTGACTCTCTCCCACCCAGATTAATTTATTGATTTGAGAAGGAAACATCAATTCGTTTTTCCACTTATTTAGGCATTTATTGGTTGCTTCTTGTGTGTGCCCTGACTGGGGACGAAACCTGCAACAAACCCACAACCTTGGCGTATCGGGACGATGCTCCAACCAAATGAGCCTCTTGGTCAGGGCACACCTGCCTGTTTTTTAGCTATGGGTTCTTCCCAAGATGAGTCATTCATTTCTCTTTTCCTCTAAGTTCTCATTACCTCTTGTCAGAATAGCTGCAGAGGTCTGTTATGGTTCCTACCTGCTTGTTGACCTCACATTATCCAACATGCTGCTGTCAACTAAATTTCCTAAAGGACTTTTTCCCGCAACACCTGCCTTCCTCTCCCCCGCCCACGTGAATGTGACAACACAGTTGTTTCTGAGTCGCTATTTCCCTAGAATGTTTTCAGTCACATTATATCAGTTAGATATTTAGCATTCAGTTAATTAAAATATAACTAATTTGAAGTACTATTTCAAATAATGAAAAAATGTTAATACTTTTGTTTTCCCTTTTAAAAGATTCCAGCAGAGGGAACTATGTCCAAAAAGTTGGCTGTAATCAAGTAAGTTTGTAATTAGAGAAATGGAGTACTTTTAAACTTTCTTCCATTTTGGTTAAAATAGAGATCATTTCTTAACTTCACAGGTTTTTATATTTGGACAGTGCATCATGCTTTCCCATTTCCTTACGTGCGTCATAGCACCTAAATTTGTTTGATGTTTGTGTTTAAGTCTTAATGGGAATTGTAGAGTTGCAGAAAGTGTCGTAAAACAATCTACTAGACAAGCTGCCGTGAGAAACTTCATGGAGGTGAAATCAGCTGTAGTGTTTGAAGCGTGTTAAGAAAATTTTGCACCCAAATATTTTAGTATAAATTATAAATATCATATTTCATCAATTGTAAGTTACACATTTTCCCCCATTATAACATTTTTGAAATCAAGATGCTTCATAAAATCAGGGTTGCCCCATCATTGCTGTTGGCTGCCCAGGTTTTCCAGAAGAATTCCTGATTGCTTCCAGTGGCCACCTGGAGGGACTGCTTGCCAGGACCTCTGTGAGTTTTCTGTGTGAATGTTTGGAGACCTAATTTACCTGCAGTTTTATGCAGGGTTTTCCATTAATCTCCAGTCTTGGTTATATTTTCTTTCTTATTAATATTTTATTTACTAATTTTTAGAGAGAGGAAAAGGGAGAAAGAGAGGGAAAGAAACATCCATGTGTGTTTGCCTCTTATGCCCCCTACTGGGGACCTGGCCCACAACCCAGGCATGTGCCCTGACTGGGAATCAAACTGGCAATCCTTTGGTTCACAGGCCAGTGCTCAGTCCACTGAGCCACACCAGCCAGGGCTCTTTTCTTTCTTACTGGTACATGAAATGATGGATTTTACAAGCACAGGTGTATAAATTATGTATATTAGATTTATATATAGAAATCATTACATTAGATAAAATATAATAGTGTGAGCTGGCTGGTGTGGCTCAGTGGATTTAATGCCGGACTGATTGAACCCACAACCTACCTGCGTGCTCAGACCAGGGATGGACCCCGTGACCTTTTAGTGCGCAGGATGGTGCACCAGCCAACTGAGCCAGGGGGCCAGGGCTGCCTTCGTAGCTTTGAGTGCTCGCCTACAGAGATGGTAACCCCCTAGCTGCCACACTTTTACCAACAGTACGTTTTTGAGCTCTTGAATCACAGCACCCTGGTGAATGAAAGCGATACTTTGTACTTGTATTTCTCTCATGTCTTTGCATTCCAGTCATTTGTGCTCCCTTTTATCGGAATTGTTACATTCATTTGTGCGTTTTTTTCTTTCATAATTGAGAGCTTATTGGTTGTTTGGAGCATAAGTGGACAGGCATTTCTATTTGTACACAATTCTTTTCATACATACCAAAACCTAAAAAATCATGTAGTTATGATTCTTTTCTGAACAGTTATTCCCATGACTTTCCAGCTTAAAATTTGAAGGCAGACTTTTCTTAATAGAATATCAAGTGCCAATATTTTCGGATGTTGATATGCTGTAATGCGACTGCCTCACTAATTCATAATTTAATATCATATATACTGCATAATCAAATTATTAATTTTTTACAGCACATCAACAAAGTTACTAGGAAAACTGGACTTTTTTAAAAAGTGGGGTCTCTTTTATAAGGGCACTAGTCCTATTTATGAGGACCTTACCTTCATGACCTAAACGTCTTGCAAAAGCCCGCCTCCTGTTGCCATCACACTGGGCATTGAATGGGTTTTGACTTACGAATTTGGGAGTGAGCCAACCATGAAGACACTAGGGTTGTACTAGGGTACGCGGTTTTGGATGCTGGCAGCAGCACTGTGCTGCATGGAACAAGGAGGGGTCTGGAGTCAGCCAGACTTGGTTGAAGTCCGAGGCTGCCCACCCGTTAGCTTATAATCATGGCCACATAATTCTCCAGGCCCCACCTTCCTTATCCATCAATCATGAAGCTAACACTTAACATCAGTGATGTGAGGTTAAATGAGACACGTAAAACGTCTCACACATGGTGTTAGGCTTCAGTAAATCATAGCTGGTGATATCAGTATAAATCTGTCTGCCAGCATATTATTACCAAATGCCATGAGCCACTCCTTGACATTATTTTCTAGTATCTTTCTTGATGATGCTCATTGGTTCATTAGTAATTTTGTTACTTCAAAACATAGGAGGATGTCTTCAGGGAACGATCTGGGGTCATGCCTGGGCCTTTTTGCTAATTGACCACATCTAAAGTATATCAGCAGTTTGCAAACCTAGTGAATTAATAATGACTTTAGGTATTGAGCAATGGCTGCAGTCATTCAAAAATAGCGAAAACGAGTTATAACATGCCTCCTTTCATCAGGACGCTGCCCACAGTGCTGACAGAGGGGTCCCATCTGAGTCTGATCAAGGCTCTGTCTCCAGCTGCCAATTTGCAAGAAATACAAGGGTCAGAGACACATGTTGAAGTGTCTGTGAGCCTGCAGTCAGCAGCATCCCAGCCTGGGAAGTTCCAAACAGTAAGAGAAAGACAGAGGAAGGAGGAATCCTGTAGATTAAACAAGACTCAAGAGATGTTCCAAGGGGAAAGTGGACAAAACCAAAGCGCAGTGTCTAGGGTTAGACCCTCAGGGGGAAACGACCTGGACACATAGGAAAGTGGCTCCTGTGAAAGTAGGGACCCGGGAGCAGCGGAGAGCAAGGCTTCCGGGCTGGGCTAAACTGTGTGTGCTTGTGCGGTGTTTATTTACGGTAAAGGAGAAATCAAGTTGTCTTTCTGTTCATGTGTGTGGTGGGTATAGAGCCTCAGCTAAGGGTATGGTTTCCAGCCTGTGGTGTGCCCCGGAAAGCCCCTGCTCCTTCACAGTGAGGATTAGTGAGAAGACACCAGTTCTGTGTTTTGGCCAGTTTCTGTATAAGTAGATAAGTGACATCATATGTGCTGATCAAGAGTAGAAAACAAGCTGTTTTTATATTGGTGACTTTGAGATTAACAAATTTGACATTGTCTTTTTTTTCCTTTTTTTTGGTCTAGACGTAAAATTCACCCCGATCAGAAAAATATTAATGCTTATGTTGTATTTAAGGATCAAACAGCTGCTACTAAAGCATTGAACAGGTAATCTGATCTCTTTGAGGTCTGACAGAATTACTTAAGTATTTATGAGAACTCTGTAATTCTTTGGTTTCACTTTAGAGCAAATATGGCAGTAACCCAGTGCTCATTTTTAACAGCCGCTTTCCCTTCCTGTGTGTAATATAGAAACGGAGCCCAAATTGCCGACGGATTTCGTATTCGAGTAGACCTGGCATCGGAGACCTCCTCTGTAAGTATGACAGTACGTGAGTTGTTTAAAGAACTGAACTGGAGTCATGTAGAGAGAATTGTTACCCCCTTCGAGTCCGCTTGAAGAGGAGTGCTGTCAGCATTTGGAGCGAAGCACAGAAGGAAGCAGCCTTGGCCCTCTGGTCACAGCGCTGGTCCCCAGAAGGACAGGAATTAAGTCACATTAGCCTAGGAGTGCAGCCCCACTTCCCCCATCGGGTTAAGTTACCATGGAGAGTTAGGCCGGAAGGCCTTTTAGAGATCATTGGGGCAAACACCTTCCTTTCTAGACTGTTATTTATTAAAAAGTTTTCAAGTCTTTACTCGGTGTCAGGTGTACAGTACTAATAAGACAGTGTCAGGTCTCCAGGTGTGTAAAGGTGAAGAGGAGCAGGTGGGCTGATTGTGGCGTTACTGTTTTATGATGAATATGCCACCAATGCTCAGCATGCGGCATTTGCTTCCGGGAGGTGCCAGCAAGAAGGGACAAAGGAGGGTTTCCAGGAGAACAGGTGTTACATCAGTGTTGCAAGATGAGTCAGTTACCTGGGGTGGGGGAAGGACTAAGAGGATGAGGATATTCGGGCAGGAAACACAGTAGAGATGGTGGGGAGCAAAACTTAATTTGCTCAGGGACGGTGAGAGCTGGTGGCCCTGGTTTTTACGGGGTAGAGCGGGCGGGGCAGTGCATGAGTGGCTCTTGGGCAGAGAGGTCGAGGCCCTGGGCTCCATGGTGAGTCTGGGTTTGTCGGGAAGCTGTTTCACAGGTTCAAGCAGAGTGAGGGGACCAGGTGTGCACTTTAAAAAGGTCTCGTGCAGCGAGCGAAGGATGCTTAGAAGAGCTCACTACAGAAACCTGGAGTGCGTCACTGGTGGTGTCAGAGCAACCTAGTTGGGCAGTGACAAAGGCCTGGTGATCTGGCTGTGATTTGGGCCTAGCACCGAGTCCCCAAACCTAGCATGAGGGCCGAATCCACGTGCCCACTGCCCGTTTAAATAGGGTCTTATTAGCACTCAGCCACACTGTTAGGTTATGTGTTACTGTGCACGGTGGCAGAGGCGGGTAGGCGCAGCGGAGAGCACGTGGCCCAGGGAGCCGGAAATAATTGCTGTCTGGCCTTTCACCCCAGACGTAGCACCCCTCTCTTGAGCCTGCCAGGTGTCAGTCTCCGTGCCCTGTAAACAAAAGCGCACTCCCTCCTGCAGTCCCAGCCCTGTTCCCATGGGGAGGGCGGAAGAGACAGGCTCACACTCCCAGCCTGGGTGTGGCAGCGTGGGAGGTGCACACGCATCCCATGCATGGGGGCGGGGCGGGGGGCGGGGCTTGAGATGACTCCATTGTCTGTTTCAGTGAGTGATTTTTATGTCTTTGTGTTTCAGAGGGACAAGAGATCCGTGTTTGTGGGGAATCTTCCATATAGTAAGTTCGTTTAAACCAAGTACTAGTTTATTGTTAAATTAGTGGAAATAACCACTGAGTAGTAACTGTTTTAAGAGTAACATTAAGATGCGTGAATGCAACTTGACTAATTTTCACGGGGCCGTGTAACTTGGTGTGTTAGAAGCCTCTCCAGCTTCCTAAGGTGATCCCGAGTCTTTGCTTCCACTTTGGTCGAATCTGTTTTCAGAAGTTGAAGAGTCGGCGGTTGAGGGCCACTTTTTGGACTGTGGGGCCATCGTGGCAGTAAGGATCGTGAGAGACGCACTGACAGGCATTGGCAGGGGCTTCGGCTATGTGCTCTTCGAGGTATGTGTTGTCTCTGTTCTTTGAAATGCGTGGTGGGGGGGCTTGTCACTGTTTTCACGCGTGATTGTCACTGTCGCTCTCAAATCCCTGTCGTCAGAAGCTGCCATAATAGAATACTGTAGCTGCACCTAAAGATGTTCCAAGTCCCTCACTGTCCATGTCGGTGTTAGTAAATGACTTTTAAATATTGGATGTTAACTGTATCAACTCTCTGAACCTCCACCCCATAAAATGGAGAAGAGACTGACCTGTCACTCAGGTAGAAGAAAACTTTAGTCTTTGTGCAAAACTGGTTCCATTTAGGTCACTAAATCTGAGTCAGTGTTCCATACCTGACATTAGAATATACTTACAATTAAAATATGCATGCTCTCTGATGGCACTTCGCTGCTCCTCCATCACAACATCACTGCATTTCCTGTCTGTCATTTCTTGTGCCTTCATTTTTTTGACTTGAACATCTCTCTGTGAACATACAGCTTTGCAACCTGCTTTACATTGTTTTCTGTTGTATAAGCATGTCCTACTGAGCGACGGAACACAATTTATGCTATCTTTTCCCAAATGCTTCCCAAATGTTAGACATTTGCAGTGTTCTCTATTTTTCTCTGTAATAATAAAATAGGAGTGATTATGTTTTTTCTCCAAATGTTTGCCTGCATTTTTGTATTGCTTCTTTAAGACAGATCCCAGTAGGCTATTGCAAACCAGTCAAGATATGTGACCATCCTTAAGACTCTCGACATGTATTATAAGATGGCTTAAGAAAGGCTGCCACAGCCTTCTGTTCCTGTCATTACTGTGTCATGGTTGTCTGTTTTGCTGTTCCATGTCTTCTGTGACCTGACAAATTTTTAAACTTCTTTTAAAAATGTCTCATGTATATTCAGGGCTGTTCGCATTTTAGTAGTTCCCTATTAGAGTAAAAGAATGATAGGGCCCTGACTGGTGTGGCTCAGTAGATATAGAGTGCCGGCCTGCAAACCAAAGGGTGCTAGGTTTGATTCCCAGTCAGGGCACATGCCTGGGTTGTGGGCCAGCCCCATATGGGGTGCACGAGAGGCAACCACACATTGCTACTTCTCTCCCTTTCTCTCTCCCTCCCTTCACCTCTCTAAAAATAAATAAATAAAATCTTTTTTAAAAAAAAGAATGATAGGGTTTTGGACCTAAGCGAAACCACACGAGGCATGGAGCCTAACACCTCAGGCACTGCAGCAGAGTCAGCTGATACATCAGGCCTTTTTGCAGAAAGAGCCTTGTGCAAAAGAGGCTCGTTGGTTTTTGAGAGATTGCACATGACTGACTAGTTAGTTGGAAGTCCATTTCACAGTGAGAAAAAGGAAGGCAGTTGGGCTGTGACTTATCCGATAACTTGGCAAGGCAGCCTGAGTGGGTCATGGGGGAAATGTGTGGGGACCGCAGCACAGCCGCTGACCACTGGATTGGGCTTCCTGGATGTGCGAGCGGGAGGGCTCCCACACGTGCGGGCTATTGGGGGCCAGTAAAGGTAGTCGTTTCTCTGCAGATGAGTTTCTGGTTGGAACTTACACATGTATACACACATAGATGTGTGTGTGTGTGTATCTTGTCTGATACAAATTATATTTGTGTATTTATATATTTGTACATGTATATGTCTGATACACATATATAAATTTACACACATACATATTTTTTGTTTTACAGAATACAGATGCTGTTCATCTTGCTCTGAAATTAAATAACTCTGAACTGATGGGAAGAAAACTCAGAGTCATGCGTTCTGTCAGTAAAGAAAAACTAAAACAAAATTCAAGTCCCAATTTGAAGAATGCCAGTAAACCTAGGAAGGGATTTAATTTTGCGTTAAAAAATGTAGGACATTCTAAAAGTTTATTTGTTGGAGAAAAAGCTGTTCTTGTCAAGAAGAAAAAGAAAGGACAAAAGAAAAGTGGACGAACTAAGAAACAGAAAAAACAGAAGTAGCTATCCGAATTGTTTTTTTCCTACTGAGTACATTAATGAAAGTGTGGTGAGCCTGTGCATTGAGTTTCAGAATTTTTAATGGGTGGCGTATGTGAACATGGAAACGTTTTCAGTTCATTTGCATTGTAAACAGTACCTTTGAACCATTTGTTTTAAGATGTAGACAGGTTAGTTACCGTGGGTTATGTGTTACTGCTCATGATGTAAGAGATGATTTTGGACTTAGGGTAAACATTTAGAATTTTAGTGGTTATGTATTATCTTAGTGTATGTTACAAATATACAATTAACACATAAGACAGTTATTTCAAGAATTACTTTGAAATGAGAGACTGAATTAAAAAGTAAATTTAAAGAAAAATAAAACACTAGCCCTGAGGTTGCTGGCTGATTCCCAGTTAGGGCACATGCGTGGGTTGCAGGTTCAGTCCCAAGTCTGGGTGCATAAACCAGTTGATGTTTCTCTCCCTCTCTCTATCTCTCCCTATTCCTCTCTCTAAAATAAAAAAATCGAAAGTAAATAAAAACATTAAACTTTCGTACTGATTGTACCCAGTCAAAGTATCTAAATAGCTACAGTGAGAACACTGACAAGGTCGAATCACAATCCCTAAGAAGAAGGGTTTGAGGACTGGTATGTAACGGCCACTCGTTTTGCTTCCTTACACTTGTGATAATTGGGGTTCTGGGTTTTTATTTCATCAACCTACTGATAACTAACAAGAATATGAAGTACTATGCGAAATGTTGCTCTAATTTCTTGTTTGTTAACCAGTGATGAGACTGGTTATTGAAGCCTTAGGCAAATTGGCTATAAGCGGCTTTCTACTTTTATTTCTGTTCTTTCATTTGAAAGATACTCTCCCAGGAAACCATGTGATTCTTCATTGTATGTTGCCCATAGAATGAAACAATCTTTCAAAAAATCGTATTTAAAGGAAACATCGTGTGATACAAATGGTGATTAAGTCACAGTGTATAAAAGTTCAAGGGGCCCTGGCTGGTGTGGCTCAGTGGATTGAGCACTGGCCTGTGAACCAAAGGGTCACTGGTTCAATTCCCAGTCAAGGTACATGCCTGGGTTGTGGGCCAGGTCCCCAGTGTGGGGCACATGAGAGGCAACCACACATGGATGTTTCTCTCCCTCTCTTCATTCCTCCCTTCCCCTCTCTCTAAAATTAAAAAAAAAATCTTTTTAAAGTTCAACAAGGGACAAGAATACCATTGCATTCCCTTGAGACTTAACTTGGTGACATAGCTGGTGTCCCTGCTCATAAATCTTACCCAGTCAGCTGAGATACCAAGTCTGTCCAGTAGGGAGGAGTAGGAATAAACCAGAGGGTGCCAGGGGCTGATTGGAGCCACAGGCGGAATCTGTGACATGCATCATATTCCTTTGGTGGGTAAGGGGACTGGGAGACCGTTATTACTGATTATTTTGACAATCCTGTCTTGGTATAGCACAAGGAAAACTTCATGAATTTTTTATAGTGTGGCTCTGTAGAAAACAGCTCCATTGTCCTGTATCCAAGGGTTGAGTATTTTTTATGGTTACATATCCTCGAGTGCTTAGCACCTTGTGTTTCATAAGTGGGGTTAAATATATCCTTATTACTTGATTGGTGAGCATTTTTGCACATATTCCCATTTAAGTTTAAATAAAGATGCATTTTCTATAAACTAGAGAGACTAGATCTATAGTATATAATTTTACTGGGTTTTATTTATAGTGTACATTCTGTATAGTAAAAATTTCTATAAATTCATATAATTATAGTGTCCTGAACATAGTGTTTCTTTTGGTTTCTCAGGTTTTTATGTAAAGAGCCCTGGACTATGGTGTAAGGGCATCTGATTCTTAACCTAGAGGGCCGTACATGACCTTGGACAAGCCTCTATCTAAATATCTTGATTGGTGAAATAGAGGTCTTGGTCTAGGTCAGCAGTTTCACACTTTTCTATGACCTACAGTAGCTTTAATTTTACATTGTGACCAGTACACACACAGGTGTATGTAACTGACACGAAAGTTTCATATGACAGTACTGGTCCTAACTACAAGTGTTGGTGTCGGATACTTTATTAAAAACACTGGTAATGACCCACCAAGGTCATTCCACAGCCCACTAATGATTCCACTCATAAACAAGTGTCTAGGGGACTTCCAGATTGTTTCTATTGTAGGATTCTTACAACAGATACTTCGAAATGTAGTGGGTAAGGGCTTCAAAGGTGCTGATGTTACTCTGACTGCTTTGGGTAACATGTCGCCTGGTCTCTTGCACCTCATAGCAGTGACCTCAATGTTTATGTTGTATTTTCTCTGCACAGTGTGGGGACAGAAGAGAGTAGTCACAGTCTAGGGGTCATGTAATCTCAAATTTTCAAGAGGTCAAGTTCTCAGCATCGTGTCTCCTGTGTAGTCTTCCTTGGACAAGCCTTTTGTGTTCCAGTACACCTGAGGCTCAGGATACACCTCTGTCCAATGACATTCCCTGACAGCTTTTGAGGGTGGGGAGGATAAAGGATGTTTGTGTGCAGGGTGTAAGGAATGCACAATCCTTTGATCCCAATAATTTGTTTCAGTACATCTTCACATCCTTCTTACCCCACCCCAGGCCAGGCACTGCACATGTACGTTTAGTCCAATTTCCAGTCTTCCACAGGGTCTTCCCTTCGTTGTCATTTAAGCTGAAGAGCCTTCCCAGGCTCCAGGTTAGGGCTTTCAGCCTAATGTTTCCAAGGTAGCCTTGCAGTAACTTCTGACACCAACTACTCAGGGTTAGGCCAAACTTCACAGGTTAAGGGCAGGATCTCCAGGACAACCCTCACTTCAGACAGCTGTCACAAATTGGAGGGGGAGGGGGTGCTCCGGGCCACTGTTCTGAGCAGCTAGGTACTAAATTGGGGGTTTTCACTAGCCCCGGGTTCAACAACCCACTGTAAGGACTCATAACTCTGGAATGTCCTGTAGTTGGTTGGTTTTATTATAGCAAAAGGATACAAATAAAAACCGGCCCAAGAGAAAGCAAGCGGCATGAGGAGAGGCTTGGGAGAGTCCCGTGTGCCAAGGTTCCATCGTCCCCTCCCTGGGGTGTCAGCGCACCTCCCTGCCCTAGCACGTGGCACATCCCTGTAACCATGGGAGCTCGTGGGCTCCGTGCCCAGAGGTTTTATTCGGGTTTCACTGTGTAGGACCCAAAGTTGAACTCAACCCCTGGCCCCCCTGGACTCCCGGAGGTAGGGCGGTTAGGGTCCAGATCAAAGTCCCAGCCCTACACTCACAGGGTCGGCTGGCCGCTGGGCCAGCCCCTCGGCGTAACTACCAGCCAGGGCCGCAGAGTACGTTACCCTAGTTTGAATTCAGGAAAGGAAGGATTTATTAAGGAGGTGGTGCCAAGCCCGGAGTCACAGGTAGCTCCTACTCGGAAACGCGGCTCCCAGTGGCTTTCTGGGAGATGAATTATTCAGGGTGACAGCAGTCCTTGTGGTGCCTAAGAGTGGAGTCGGGTCCGGGTCTCCATCGACCGGCGGGTGCCAGGGCGGGGCGTGCTGATCACCGCATCGGCTCCGCAGGTGGGCCCTGGAGTTGTTTTGTCCAGCTTTGCGCGATTCGTTCTGTGCGAAAGTTCTGCTTTCCTGGGTCCGGAGCCCAAACATACCACGTTGTTTGACCCAGCACCTTGTTTCTAAGACTTACTGAATGCTCAGAGAGCCGCATTGTCCTGAGGCCTTAACGATTACTTGGTAGGGCTAGTTTGAGTCAAAAATCAAAACCAAAGGCCAGATTAAGTAAGGTGTCTGCAGGCTTAACGAACGACCTTTCCGTCACTCGGGGCGCAGCGCTTCGGCGGACCGGCCCAGCAGCGGGCAGGGGACCCAGGGACCTGGGCTGGAGTGCCGTCTGCTTTCTGCCCACGGTTTTGTCTTTTATAATTTAACCCACATATATAATGCTTCGTGTGGCTATAAAACTACTCACCTTTTCTTTTTCCCTTCAATCTCTCTTACCGGTTATATTTTTCTAGCACTGCTCCATTTTATTTTCTTCCACTCAGGATACCATATTGTAACATTCTTTTGAAACTGAGTAACTAGCTACGGAGCTTTTTGCACGATTGGGTTGTGACTGAATTTGAAACAAGTTGCAGGCTGGCAGCACTTCACAAAAGAAAGTGAAGCATTTGTCACCACCCTTCCACCTCCGCCAGCCCCAGCAGTGCGTACGTGCTCGACCTCTCGCACACTCTGGACGCAGATCCGCACTCCGAAGCAAGCACGTCAGAGACCCCGCCTACGTCCCTCGCGCAGACGCAGAAGCGGCTCCCGCTCCTCCGCGCAGGCACTGCGGCGGGCGGCCCGGGGGCCTCGGCCCAGGCACTGCTGAGGACTGCCGAGGGGCTTCTGCTCAGGCACTGCGGCGAACCTCCCGGGGCCCTCGGGTGACGGAGCCGGAAATGGCGCATTGGGCCTTTCCTTTTCCTTTGCAGCGAGCGCCAGTTTGAGCAGTGCGGTCTTCTCCTGGGTGAGGGTTTGCGGCCAACGGCTTCTTCTCTGGCCCACCCGGCTGCCGATCCCTCACTACAGTCGAAAAAAGATGGTGGGCCGGAATAGCGCCATCGCTGCTGGTGTGTGCGGGGCCCTCTTCATCGGGTACTGCATCTACTTCGACCGCAAGAGACGGAGTGACCCCAACTTCAAGAATAGGCTGCGAGAACGTGAGTGAGTCCCCTGCCCCGAGACTACTGTCTCCCGCCATGGCCGCCGCTCTACCAGTGCTCCCTCCCTGCTGGGTGGGCTCGGGGCGGCGGGCGCCCGCGTGGTGTTTAGGGCCTGGGGCGGGGAGCCACCAACCGGAAAGAGGTGTTGGTGCTGTCACGCGCCCCCGGGGCTGCTCTTTTCCCTGCGTGATCCCTCCATTTTGGTGGAACGGGAACGATTTTCCCATTTTGTTTTTCCCACTTTTGTCGTTTAGACTTACTCTTATCCGTATTAAAATGTATGGCGTGTGTCGTGGGGATCTTGGGTTTCTTTTTTGGCGTACACCCTTTAAAATCTATTCCTAACTGGAAAGTCGCGTTTTTAATATTTTACGAGTTTCTGGGTGAGCCCAAGCCTGCAAATACGACGCAGCATCGTCGTTGCATTCTTAAACCCTCTTGGTAGCTTTTCTGTAAGTGCTTCCAAGATATGAGTGAATGCTATAGAAATTGCAGGAGAGTCCAAAGGGCTGAGCTTCTTCTGTGGCTCAGTCTTATTTCATACCTGCGACATCTGTTAAGAGGATTTTTTACGAGAAGGAAATCATGACACCAGAGCCTTTGGGATCTTTGAATTCTGGAGGCATACTCAGTTGCAACAATAAAAGAGCAAATTTGTTGGAACGAGAAGGAGTTTGTTATTTATCTAGGTCGCTGAAACAGTTAATTGAAGTTAAATTTGATATGTAAGTTACCGAAGCTCAGGGAGTACAGTGATTGTTTTATTTCATAAGACTTCTTTAAACTCAGTGTGTTCAGTAGCCACGTGTGGCTAGTGACTACTACGTTGGACCACGCTGACCTCAAACCATCTACAATATGACAGCGAATTCCTGATCTCTTACGTTTTAGGCGGGCAGAGACAAAGAAATAATTTATTTAATTTAAGGTTAGATAGACTAATGGGGCGAATGCTATTTTGGATCTGACACTGAGTTTCCCGGCCTCGTTTAGTCACAGGTTAGCAGCATAACCTTGGGATTTCTGAGTCTTATTTTCTTTTAGTTTGTGAAGTCAAGTCAGGTAATGCCACTTGCTTCAGGTTGGTTTTGTGAAGATTAAGATGTTTGAAGTGTCCACCACCATTTTTGACAGAGGGAAGGTCCTTGCATTAATGCTGGCCCTAAGTGTAACTATTGGAATTTCCATCAGTTTCCTGTAGTTTCAAAAGTAGGCGCAGATGCCTGTCTCTGTACAGAATAGATTAACCCTTTCTCCTTTGGGAATGCTGTGAGCCTTACTGTTGGAAACCTTGAGGAAACTAATTTTTGGTTGAAGAAATAAAAACTACGATTTTAGACAGATTAAGAAACCTGTCTTTTTTCAAAAGTTATTTTCCATCTTTAATTCATTAATTTACTTTCTCACTTGAGCAGTAGCCTGATGATTTAAGTGGTCAGGTTTAAATTATTAGCTGAGTAACCTTGGGCACCCTACTTTAAGGTTTTAGTTTCACTTTTGTAAAATGATATAACAAAGGTGGAGTTCAGTAGAGGTTTGGCCTGTAGTAATTGATGAATGCTGAAGATTGATTATGAATATAATTTGTTTGATATTTCTTAAGCAATTAAAACTTTTCCAGAGTAGTTTTGTAGTTTGATTAAAGATAATTATATGATTGGCTGATCTTTGAGGGTATCTTGAATTTGTGTAATTAAATTTGGTTTAATTTGAGGGTTTTTAAAATCTTTTTAATTTTAATTGTTCTGATTTTGAGTTTTTATAGTCCAGTTCCTAATAGAATAGTTGCATCTGCACAGTTTCTCAGATGGTTCACTTTGGCTTGTTAGCTTTTTTTTTTTTTTTTTAGGGAAAGAGGCTTTAAGTTTAAAAAAAAGGTTTGAAATTAGATCAGGGATTCTAATTTATTTGGATTTTTTGTGTCTCATTAGCAGTAGCAGATTATGAGGCTTGTTATAGCATAATTTTCATTAATTCAACTAATCATTAATAAGTGAATATTGACTTCCAAATTATTATGCTAACCACAGGTGTGGTTTTACTTATGCAGTACTGTATAAAGTGATTCATCATTTTAAAATATATTAAGTAGTTTTGTTTAAATGAATACTACTAGAATGACTTAGATTTGGGACTTGTTAGCTTGTATTTTTTCTGTATTTTTTAATTTTATCTTTAAAAATTTTTGTTTGTTTGTTTATTTGCTTTTAGAGAGAGGGGAAAGGAGGGAGAAATAGAGGGAGAGAAACATCGCACATCCCCAGACCCCAACCAGGGACCTGGCCTGCAACCCAGGCATGTGCCCTGACAGTGAATCAACTGGCGACCTTGTGGTTTCCAGGAGAGTGCTCTCAATCCACTGAGCCACACCAGCTAGGACTTTAATATGTATTTCTTTAAAGTAGACAGTTGAATGTGTTAGGCTTACACAGTAGCGCTTGAGACTTATGGCCAATACTGAGTCAAGGCCTGATTTTGCAGATTGGTTTTCTAGTCTGTTATCATTTGTCCCTAATTTATCAAAGAGATACTGTATCTGAAAATAAGTTAATATAACAAGTTGTTTTATGAAACTAAAACCAGAATTGTAACCTTATTGCAATCTTATTGCTAGAAATGTAACGCAATTAAGCAATCTTTAAAGTTGGTAATTGTATCCAACATCAGCAACAACACTCTCCTCTCCACTGCATGAAAGAGCAATTATAAAGTGGATAGTAAGGGAAACTAAGTTTCTCTCTACTGGGTTTCTTTCTTTCTTCTTTTTTTTTTTTTAATACCATTCTTATCATTTTACATAAATTGTGGCTTTGGTATTTCTCTGTTTATTCCACAAACTTGCCATGTTCATTTCTGAGGTGCCTTTTACTTTGATGGGAACATCTTCACTTCTGCAGCTTTAGAGGCAGCTTAGAGTAATACCAGTGAGTACTCGTGCTGTGCAATGCAGCTGCTTGGGTCTGAGTACCTGTGTTCCTTTTAATTGGTTGTTGCCTCGGTCAGTTTCCTTATCTGTAAAATGGGGATAATAATAGTACATGTCTTCATGTTACTCTGAGGATTAAATCAGCTAATTATATTATTTAGAATAGTGTCCTGGCATATAGTATCTAAAACTTACTGAGTGCTTACTTTAACATCCCGCTGCTCTTCACCTTCACGTCAGTTCCTCTGTGAAGTCTTCCTTCCTTCCATCCATGTTCTAGTTTTGGCGCTCTCCTTGCAGCACTAGTCTGTGCTATGTATGATACTTAGGAATTAGTTAACATAGTCTGGTGTCATTCATTATTTCCTGCCTAAAGAGAGCCAAAGGAAAGTCTTATGCAAGTTGAGGGTAGAAAATGTTACGTGTTCTTTTCCCCACAGTTAGTTGCCCAGTAATGAACACCTAGGAAAGGTGGTTTGTTAGGAAAAATGGGCAGTCTTCAAATTAATATGTAAGATCAACTTTAACCTGTTTTTTGCTGTTGAAACTGCTAAAAATGTATTAAATCATATAATAGTAGCACTTTGTTTTTATGGGGGCGAGGGTTGGTAAGAGATACTGGTGTGGTTAAAGCCAGTTTGTAAGGTTGGATAAGAAAAGAAGGCTCCCTGACCATAGTCAGTTGCGAGGCGAACAGGTCACACTGCCTGTTTGTTCACGCATTGGGATTCGGGTTTGTGGAGCACATTTGCTTGCTTTACTATGGCTTTGTTTCTGACAGTAGTAAAGTTAAGGGAGCTTTGTCTTTGGAAAGCAGGGATTTATGTGCTTGAGGTCATCCAAGTAACAAGTATAGAGCCTTACCTTTCTTAGGAATGCCACATGGTGGTTCTCTGTGTCACTGGTAGTTTTTAGCTTGGGAATTAGTATTGAATATATCAGTAACAAATGCTTTCTTGTTATAAACCAGGCACTGTAAAAAATACTTAATCCACAGTAAGTCATTTTATCCTCACAGCACTAGCGCAGGGACTGTTCTTAGACCAGTTTTGCGTAGGAAGAAAGTGAGGCCAGGTCAGTGTAACTTGTCCACGGTGGCACTGCCAGTGAGTGGAAGAGCTGGCACGTAAACAAAGCCTGTGCTTCCTCTGTGCCAGCACCTTCACGCGGGGTGTGTGATTAACTGGCAGTCTAAATGCTGTCAGTGTCCTATTTGGTGGTAAGGGTTGACTAAGTGACAATTAAGATTTTAAACATCTCTTACCCCTGAGATGTAATATTGCTGTTCCATAGCAAACACAAGACAAAAAAAACCTCAAAACATCTTAGAGACTGTAGGCAAAGGTTTGTTTTCCTCATGTAGCTAGCAACAGTTGAATTAGAAATGTAGCGTTTTTGTCAAATGCATTAACTCCCCTCCCTCCTTCCCTCCCTCCCTCCCTATCTTTAGAGAGAGGGGAAGGGAGGGAAAAATACAGGGTAGAAACATTGATGTGTGAGAGATACATCCATCAATTACTTCTCGCGTGCCTCCAACTGGGGACCCAGCCTGCAACCCAGGCATGTGCTCTGACTGGGAATTGAACCAGGTGGGCACTCAATCTACTGAGCCACACCAGCCAGGGCTATTTCTTCCCTCCCTCCCCTTTTTTTTTTTTTTAAGGAAAATTTTCTTGCCCTGGCTGGGTAGATTGCTTGGTTAGACCATTGTCCCAATATGTCAAGGTTGCTGGTTCGATCCCTCATCAGGAAACATGCAGGAATCAACCAATGAACGTATAAATAAGTGGAACAACAAATTGATGTTTCTCTCTCCTTTCCTCTCTTTCTCTCTCTCGAAAAATCAATAAATAAAGAAATTTTTAAAACACTTTCTCAAATGCTGAGTCCCCCCACCTCCATTTAAGAATGCCAGTCAGTGTTCAGCATTCAATAAATAGAACCTGTTACATTTCAGTAATGAAACTCCCTAACAGTGGTGGGTTAATTCTTGCTGGTGTTTCATGGCCTGGGATAGTTGGGAGGGAAGGCTTGCTCATCTTGTAAACGGCTGATCTGAAATCCCCTGCCCAAATCCCCTGCCCAGAAAAGTGGCGTTGCCCAGAGCTCCTTGACCTGAACTGTTCTTGTGACCTGACAGATGGACTGCACGGAGACCTGAGAGCCCAGCAGTCAGTAATGTTTTGGAAAGAGAATGAATGACTGCCACGGCATGTAGACTTATTTTGATTCTCCTTTTACTGATGACAAAATGAACATACTTCATTTCTTGCAGGAAGAAAGAAACAAAAACTTGCCAAAGAGAGAGCTGGACTTTCCAAGGTAATACTTAATCTGTTTTTTGTTTAAATTGTACAGGGGCAGGCAAAAGTAGGTTTCCAGTTGTGAGTAGGAGAAACAGTTTATTCTTATATTATTATTATTGTATTTTCCATATGAACCACTGTAAACCTACTTTGCCCACTCCTGTATTGAATACTTCATAGAAATAATTACTTAAAACTCTATTTCAGGTATATATTTTGAGAAAGCTAGCTTGATGATCTATTTTAAACTATAACTTGCTGCTTTTAGGAATAGTTAAGTGAGTTCAATTGTAGATTATCCAGTCCTTTATTTCCCCCTCCCCCCTTTTTTGGCCATAATAGCAGACACCTTATCTGAGCACTCTGTAAGGGGCACTGAGGTGGTAGTCTCCTGAAGACACTTAGACCAGAAGGCTTGCACATCACTCAGCTGCTTCAAAATAATAAAGTAAAACATTTATTAGTTTTTTTCTTTAGAAGAACCACGTGCAGTTCATTTAAAAAGTTATATAAGATTATTCTCACCCACTGATCCAGAATCTCATCACTTGGGACATTTTTTCATCTAGTTGTAATGCGTAAGTGTAGATATAAATCTTTCTATTCGTTTTTTTCTTTTCATAGATCCTGTGTTCATGATTATTTTAAATGACCACATAGGTTTATCTGCTTGATAAAAAAATGTTCTGTGACATGTGTAAGTAAATTAAGTAAGTAAATGTTAATCACTGTGAATATAGCTTTTCTATTTTATTGACATTAGTTCCATTGTCTGGATTCCCAGGACTTGGACTACTGGATCAGAAGTGGTTCTTTTTGAAGCAGGTTGAGGCAAAAACAAAATTAATGGATAAATGTTACATTTTGTTATTTTGAAACAATTGTAATCAGTGCTGCAAACTGCCTGGGCATGATCATAGTGAAGTTCATAACTGGGAGACAACCACGTACTTGTTCTGTTGTGTCTAAATGACCTTTCTCAGATGTGTTCGTTACATTTTTAGTAGTCAATATAAGGGTATAGGAAATAGGTATATTATTATACTACGTGTAAAGACACGTATCAGTGTGTATTTTTAGATTCAGGTATGATCAAATTCCTGGTGTATGTTGGGGTAGTCAATGAGAGGTGCCTTCACTTTCAGAAATTAAAATCTTTTTCACCCATGTTGCATAATGGGAGTGATATATATATATATATATATATATATATATATATATATATATATATATATATATAATAATCCAAGAACCAAAACCTTACAATAATAGAACTCTAGGGTTTTAAATAAAAAGGAAGTCTTTAATAGTAAGTTTACATTTTTAAAAAGACAAGCTAAATAGCTGGGTCTGGTAATATGTAACAAACTGTAAAGCAAAAACAAAGAAATGCAAACTTACTTAAATAAAGCTGCTTACAACTATAATAGCAAAAAATTAAAAGTACCTCAAATGCTCAACACTGATTATGTAACTATATATTCCTCAGTGGTACATTTTATTAACATTTAAGGATAATCTTTCAGAGCATGTAAAATCTATACAAAATAATGTTGGAATAGAAGAATATATTGATTACAGTTACATAAAAATCTATGATAATGATGGTCAAAAATGGTAATGTGTATATTTTATGGTAGAGGTATTTGTATTTCTTTTTTAGGTTTGATTCACAGCTTTCTAAGAACTGTTCAATACCAGTTTGATCAATAATTTTTTTTTGCATTTCAATATAGATACTAAAGTAATCCTTATGAGTTTTGTTAAAGAGTAAATTTCAATTTTTTGGTTTATTTTTAGTGATATGATTTTCTATGTATTGGTTATATCCCCTGACATAATTTTGTTATCAATTATTAAATATTCTATTTCCAGTTACCTGACCTTAAAGATGCTGAAGCTGTTCAGAAATTCTTCCTTGAAGAAATACAGCTTGGTGAAGAGTTACTAGCCCAAGGTAATAGTTACGTAAAAAAAACCAAAATTTAACCAAGAAAATTTGAACTCTACATGGCTTTATTTAGTAATTTATGAATAGAGCAGAGCATCCAGTCTAGCAACTAGAAGGGCACTCTTTCCAAGGGGTTGTGCAAAGTGGAAGGTTTTTGTAGGAAGCAGTGTGGGGTGTGGGAGCGATTAATGAAAGAAAAGAAAGGGTTCTCTATTGAGGACATCTCTTTGAGGGGGGGAGAGAGGAAGCGTTCTTACCATGCAGATTGCTTTTTTTCTGTGGGGTTGGGGAAGGGCCTAGATGACAGAGTACTTTATTGGTTCTTGACCAGACTAACCAGTCTGGTCAAGAACCAATAAACGTTCATCTTAATAAACATTAAGAGTCTTAATGTTAATAAATAATAGAGTCTTAATGTTAATCTTAATAAACATTAAGATTATGTTTCTGGGAGAGGTTGGAAATGCAGTTAGATCAGATTAAATCTAGGTTTGGTATCCGGTTTTTATAGCACAGGTGACACTGTAGGGCTGATATAATTTTCTTTAATAAGTTGTTAAAAGACTAGAGAGAAAACTAGGTAGAATTCTTCCCTCTGATGTAAGTTTTTGGTGATAAGGGGCCTTTTCAGTGGACCGTGGTTACCATACCCGGTGGTTCTGTTGCCCATTGCACACACAGAAGGCTCTGCTCTGAGTGAGGCAGCAGGTCTTCCACAGAGGACAAGGTTTACTCGGCGGCAGACAGAACCGGAGACGAGGCTCAGTCGGTCTCCCTGAGGGAAGGCTTGGACTTGGAGTGAGCTTAGAGGGGAAGAAGGAGGAACTGCACCCACTGTATTCTAACCCGGGAGTCTTGGGTGGACAGTCTTGGAACTAAGTCATCTAGGAAGGAATGGGGAAGGTGAGGAAGCAGAAAGGAATTCCAGGTGGGCTGGGTTGTTGGCTGAGACCTGGGTGCGGGCAGCCTTGCTTCTGGGTCCTGACCACAGGGCGGGTCTGTGCACAAAGGCTCCGCCACAGGTGGGTTAGGGTTCTGGCCACCATGGGGCCAGCTGGATTCATTTGTTGGCTCTCAGGCCTGGGTGAGCCCCTGGGGCCCGGCTGACCTGGCCTGATCAGGGGTTTCCAGGGCACTGTGGAGGAGGTCTGCTGTTACCTCCACAAGACACTAAAAACTAGGGGAAAACTACCAGGTTGACTTCGGAGTTAGGGCCCTGTTTTAGTACAGCTGTTTCTTAAAAAGTTATTCTAACTTCTGTCTAAATACAGTCTTGTGCCCTGGCAAGTGTGGGTCAGTGGGTTGGCTACTGGTCTGCAAAGCCAAGGGTCACCAATTTGATTCCTGATAAGGGCACATGCCTGGGTTGTGGGCCAGGTCCCCAGTTGGGGGTGTTCAGGAGGCAACTAATCCATGTTTTTCTCCCCTTTCTTCCTCTCTTCCCCTCCCTCTAAAAATAAATTAAAAATTTTAAAATAAATGAGTAAATAAAGTCTTGTGTTGTTGTCATGCAATGACGTTTTGGTCAAGAGTGGACTACATATGCAATGCTGATCCCATAAGATTATAATGGAGCTGAAAAGTTGTTGCTTAGGAGCATTGTAGCCGTCGCCAGGCAACGGCTCTTTTTCAGCAACATATTATTTATGTGTTTGTTGTCATGCCTGGTCTAAACTGTAGGGAACAGGATTTGTCACCTCAAATCGTCTCTTGGGCATAAGGATTATTTTAGGTTGGGTAATTTTAAGAAACACTGATATGGGAGAAGCTCTGAAAACGAAGGAGAAGTTTCCCTATGTGAAAAACATCTACATGTGTAAGGAAATCTCCCTTTGTCAGGGTATCTCCCTCCTTGCACTGGAAAGAGGGGGGTGACCTTATCTCTAGAAACTTGTCAATGCAGAGGACATCAACTTCAGTCTATAATAATCTCACCTTGTTTACTGTGCTTTTCCTGGTCGCCTCCTATAACCGACTTCTCCCCACCTCCATCCTCTTCTGTCTTCTGTTGAAGAGGGTGTTTGAGGGGTGGCCACCTTAGTGAGGTTCTCCGTTTTGTTGGGTCTCTCAGGAATACAGGCAGTATACATGCATTTAAGCTGTTGTTTCTTTCTCCACACAAAACCTGCTGCACTGCCAGTTGCACAACGTTACATTACCTTTCTATGTTTAGACACGCCAGTACTTAGCACTGTGTTACAGTTGCCTACGGTATTCAGCACAGTAAGCTGCCGTACAGGCTCGTAGCACGGGAGGTGTGGCGTAAGCTCTGCCATCTGGGTGTGTGTAAGTAAGTGCATGCTGATGTTCGCCCACTGATGAAATGCGTAACGCGTATTTCTCAGCGCAGCCCGGTCATTAGGCAGTGTGCTACTGTGTTTCAGGATGAGCTGTTAGGCGTTTAGTAATGTGAGGACAGTGTTATTTAAGACTGGCTCTAGAAATCAGTGTTTATTGTGTCAGTACATTTCGAGTGAGTTTTATGTTTACTTGATAAGGAGAAGATAATGAGTAATCTTTACAAATGGGGCTATTTTAAGTAGTTTAGAGAATGTAGTCATTGCACAATACTTAAAAAATTCTATTATGAAATTGAAATGCTCAGATTGGAAAATGTGAGGACTATAATCCATTCAGTAGTTTAGTCTTAAGGTATTTACAGATATTTTTAGTGTTAAATTAGCTCTCCTCTCAAAAGTACCTTTAAAGTAGTTACTGTCATTAATTTTAAAAGTGTTAAGTTTTGCCCTGGCCCATGTGGCTTAGTTGGTCTGGCATTGTCCCATAAATCAAAAGGTCATGGGTTCAGTCCCCAGTCCGGACATGTACAGTCGGCAACTTGTAGATCTCTCGCTCACACACATCGATGTTTTGCTCCCTCTCTTTGTCCCTCTCTTTTCCTTTCTAAGCATGTCCTGGGGTGAGGATTTTTTTTTTTAAGCCTCAAGTTTTTCTTACTCTTATCACTGTATCATAAGAGATAAAGACAGTATTGTACTATATGCTTTTGGTTCTTTGTTTCTTTTATGAGAACAGTTAAAGGTTTAAGATGGTGACAGGCCATATTTACTTTTTGTTGTATCTTTCTCGAGAAATAACTTTTTCCCCTGGCTGGTGTGGCTCAGTGGATTGAGCGTCAGCCTGCAAACCAAAAGGGTACTGGTTCAATTCCCAGTCAGGGCACATGCCTGGTTTGCTTGTGGGTGAGGTCCCCAGCTGGGGGTGTGCAAGAGGCAACCAATTGGTGTTTCTCTCTCTCCCTCTCCTCTCTCTTTAAAATTAAATAAGTCTTTTAAAAATTAAAAATAACTTTTATTTTTTGAGGAAGTAATTATCTTTGGATTGTGAAGTAGGGTATAATACTTAAGTAAAAAAAAAAGGAAAAATGCCGTAACAAAATAATTACATGACTTTTCCCAATACAAATAAGAAAAAAGTGAGGTTTAATCATAGAGCACTGAAATCGTCACAAGGATTATTTGAGAGGCTATAATTATATTACTTTTAAAAAGACTATTAATTTTAGAGTGAGGGGAAGGGAGGGAGAAAAGAGAGGGTGAGAAACACCGATCAGTTGCTTTTTGCTTGTGCCCTGATTGGAACTGAACTTGCAGCTCAGGCCTGTGCCCTGACCCAAGAGTGAACTGGCAACTTTCCTCTTTGCGGGGTGATGCCCAGCCAACTGAGCCACACCAGTCAGGGTAATTATATTATTTAATATCTGAAAAGAGAATTTTGCATGTGTAGTGATTCATATTTGTTTTTAAGGATGGCAGTGTTTCATTTTATGCAAACATTCTCAAGTAAATGTTTTTCATGCTCATAAAGACGTCTATACTATCAAACTTTTTTCTAACTCCCCCAAAATACAAACATTTTAAATTAATTGACTAAAATAAAGGTAGTAGACTATAATGTACTCCTTATTACTTACACTTGGATTATCTTGGAGATTTGTGCACTGTGGCCCTGTCCGTCTGTCTGATTTGAGCTGTTGGATCCAGATTGAGGACAGTTACTGGTGGTGATGGGGCAGGTTAAGGAGAGACAGGGAACAGTTGATCTTTTGTCCACGTTCAGTCCTGTACTTCAGCCCAACACACCCAGAGAATTACTTAACTCAGCTGCCAAACTTGCTTTCTTTTGGTGGAAACTACCAAGCTAACCAGAGATAGGAGACTTGGATGGTGAGGCTTAGAGTACAGGTCGGTATCGGAGTAAGCCAGGTGGGGAAGCATAAGCAATTTGGGTGGTGAACTTTATTGCTTGACAGGTTCTCCTCCTTCCAGGCATCTTCCCAAAATGTATTCCTTTAACTGAGTGAGATCTCATCTCAGGCAGTGTGACTGGGGTCAGGCTGCACGTGCAAAGGGGAAATGGCTTCACCTGCAGTGTGTGCCTGCAGTAGCTCACACGGTTTGCAGTACATTTGGTGTTCTGGGAGGTGTCTCAGTGATCCCCTGTGTTCCACGCACACCACTCCAGTAGCTGTTTCCACTTAATACCTGTGTCTAAAGATCCAGGTTGTGATATATCAATTCATGCAAACACATTTTCAAGTAAATTTTGTCCTTCGTGCTCATAAAGGTGTCTAACTTACTGCCAAAACTTCTACTGTCCCCAGGCAACCATGTAATTCTCTTTGGTGCCTGTAAGTCAGTGACTGAAATGACTATTCCATGCCCAGGTGGCACCTTAATTTTCAAGTCAGTGGAGCCATTACTGAGTCTCTTGATGGAAGTGCAAGCCCATGCAGAAGACCCAAGTCTTGTATTTTCTATTTTATTTTAAATGCTTTTTTGCTGAGTTCTGCTTTTCAAATTTTTTAAAGGTTTTATTTATTTATTTTTAGAGATATGGCAAGAGGGGGAGAGAGGGAGAGACATTGATGTGCAAGAGAAACATTGATTGGTTGCCTCTTGCATGCTCCTAAGTGGGGGGACCTCACCTGCAACCCAGGCGTGTGCCCTGACTGGGAATCAAACCTGTACTCATTTGGTTCACAGGCTGGCACTCAGTCCTTATACCAGCCAGGGGGTTTTGTTTGTTTGTTTTAAAGGGAATCTCTGTAATTTCTTTTTAATTTTATTGTGAACCTTGAAGTGCTTTAAAAAATTCATAATAAAAAAGATTTCCCCCTGGCTGGGGAAAGATTTCCCCCATGCCTGGGTCGCAGGCCAGTTCCCAGCAGAGGACGTACGAGAGGCAACCATACATTGATATTTCTCTCCCTCTCTCCTTCCCTTCCCTTCTAAAGATAAATAAATAAATTTTAAAAAATTTTAAAAAAAGACTTCCAGTGGAGGATTTTTAATAACGTACATTAAAAAGACGTCCCATGTTGAAAAGTCCTTATAGAATATTTAATTTAAAACTGTATTTAATGGTGTAAAATTCATTTGCTCTGAGAATTTGGGGCAGTCTTTGGAGTTTGATTTCAAGTGGAATTAACTGAGGACAGGAGCTGCCTCTCGGGTCCTTACTCAGGCAAAAAACCTTCAAAAAACTGTATGCCTGATGTCATTTTTTTTTTTCTTTCAACAGTGGTACAACTATTGCAGGAAATTTGTAGGTAAATAAAAAGAAAGTAAATTCTACTACTCGGAGATGATCACTGTTTTTTGTTGTTTTTTTTTTACCTGCTTCTTCCTGCCACTTGTATTACTATGACTGTTTTGCTCATAACATCACTTAACCCTTTTTAACTTACGTGTGATGATGTAGTACAAGGGGTTAGTTTAAGATGAGATTGGCTCTCTCTGTCTCAGTCCCCAACTTCCTGTTCTCTCTTCTCAAGAAGGGTGTTCCATTGTTAGCAATTTCTTATGTAATCTTTGAGAAATACTCTGTATAAATAGTAATATATGTGGACATTTCTGCACCTTAATTTCCCCCCTTTTGTATGTATATTGGAGATACAGCATATCAGTGCATACAGTCTGGACCATCCTTGTTAATGGCTTCATAATATCAATCATATGAATGTACAATAGATTATTTCCAAGTTTCTACTTGTATGATATTTTTGGTCTGTATCACTTAGTGGTACAGTGTAGACTCTAGAGTTGAATTCTTGACAAAGGCAGAGGCTTTCTGGTTACGTGTCACTTTCATGTCCACCTTCCAGGCGAATATGAAAAGGGCGTGGACCACCTGACCAATGCGATTGCCGTGTGTGGACAGCCGCAGCAGTTGCTGCAAGTGCTGCAGCAAACGCTCCCGCCACCCGTGTTCCAGATGCTTCTGACCAAGCTTCCCACAATTAGTCAGGTAAGGGTTTGAAATGTTAGGTAATAAAAGTAGAACCTGAGAATTAAATGTTTTAGGAACATTAGCATTGAAAAGTGAGCCTAGTGAAATGGTGGAATCATGAAACGCATCCATGTAGTGAAAATAGGACTCGAGACAACAGTGCTTAGAATTTTCTTCCCTAATGGGAAAACATTCAGATGACTGGGAATAAGATCTAGTAGTGATCGTGTCCAAGAGCCGGATCAGGAATTGTGTCTCTTAGAATTATGGCTCAGACCATAGTATTCAAATCCCAGAATTTAGGCCATTCTCAACTACTTTCTGAAACTAGTTTTCTGCCGCCTCTCATGCGCAACCGTGCGGTCAGGTCTGAGGCGTGATGGAAGAGCCGGGATGGCCTAGCCTGGCAAGTAGGTTGTAAAGGACCCTGGACCCCCTGACCTCACTTGTCTAAAGGTCCCAGCACCTCACATCTGCCAGGGTGGGGTTTGGGTTCAGCATTATTTCACTACATCCCCAAATCCCTATTGAATAGGGCAAAATTTGTGTATACAACCATTTGTGTATACAACCGCTAACTTAAGAGTTAAGTAAACTGCATGCTGTTCTTTTAATCCTTTCCAAGGAGTTCAAGTGAATCTACTTGTTGGAAGGGCATACTGTTACATGTTTTAATTTCCACATTTGGTATGATTAAAACTTACTAAAATGGGTAATTCTTCAAAATGACCTTTTACTCCACTAAATTGGAAAGGGACAAAAGAAAAGACAGGTCCCAGAGGGTTGGAAAACCAAGGACTTGGTCTTAATCCTTTTTATTCCCTGCTGTATCAGAATCCTTTATTTAATGTCATTTGCACTTTGAAAAGCAGCATAGTATGTAGAGCTTTTGGGAAATTGACCTGAGGGTGATGTGATGTCTTGAAATATGGATGAATTCAGGTTGAAGCCTTAATTCCTTTCTATAAAGATGACCTTTTTCAAGCCCCAGCTGGTGTAGCTCAGTGGACTCAGCGAGGGCCTGTAAACTGGGAGAGGTTTGATTCCCAGTCAGGGCACATGCCTGGGTTGCAGGCCATTTCCCAGCAGGGGATGCATGAGAGGCAAACATACATTGATGTCTCTCTCCCTCTCTTCCTTCCCTTCCCCTCCCCTCTAAAGATAAATGAAAAAAATCTTTTAAAAAAATGACCTTTTTTACTTAGCTAACTTGTCTCATGTTATCTGGAAATGTTTTCAAAGTATTAATTTGAGAAGACTGTATTCCTTTTTCATATAATGATTTGGAGCATTTCCAGGCCAAAAATGGAAATATTTGGAGTATAGAATGATCAGCATTCTTAGCACTCATCAGTATTTTTAGTTTATGTAGGAATAAAGAGAGATCTTGAATTCATTTTTGTTTCAATTATGTAATTGGCTAATGTGTAGCACAATAAAATGGTATGCCTCTTTTATTCATTTGAATTTTGAAATGAGACCAACAGCAGTTATGAACATTATTTTCTTAGATGATAATGTATAAAGTGTTTAATGTTGAAATTTCAGAATGGGTAAACTTTAGCTAGATCTATTTCTTGGAATACAGAGGCCGTTACCCTTTTTTTTAATTCAAACAAAGGGCATTTTTGTTGAACCTGATTAAATTTGTGTACTTTGTAAGAGTTAAACATATTTTTCTTCTTTCAGAGAATTGTAAGTGCTCAGAGCTTGGCTGAAGATGATGTGGAATGAGAAACAAATGCCAACATCATAATCTCCATTAAAAGTGTTTTTAAAATCCTAACTTGGAAGATGAGCAGCTCTGGGGGAATAAGGGCAAACAGGCTTGGTATGGACTGTCCACTAAATCTACCAAAGTCAACTTTTACTTTGTGTAGATCCATTCATCTTTTATTTATTTTTCCCAGTGAAGAGTGTATTTTGATAGAGAGCTTTTCATTTTATAAATACACTATCAATTACTGAAATACCATGGATTTTGCTTATTCCTAAAATGTGTGATTAAAATGTACATATAACATCATGTTATGTACATCAGAAATATCCAGTGCTCAGTTTTAAAAGGCATTAAAATTAAAAGTAGGGGAAACCTGGAAAATGCACTTTTCTTAAGCTAGTACATCTTGCTGCATGACAGAAAATTGGGTGGAAACAATGATTGTCTTTATCAAAACTGGGTATTAAAGTCTTTGTGAGACCATGTCTTTGCATTTAATCCTGCAAAAGTGTGAGATGTACTGCTGTGCCGTGCTAACAGCCTTATCCGCCCTGTGCATCAGTCTGGGAACATTTTGTTGGAGGCCGTGGCTTGCTGTGCTCTGGATATTATCTCCTGGTGTTGTAGGTGCATGCCGTTGCAAATAGCACTGGGAACTAGATGTCCGTGTGCCCCTGGTGTAGCTGTCGCGCTTCTCCAGTCACTGATGCCTGCCCACTTCCCTCACTTGTGAGATGAGGGGTTTGGCCTGTGGGTTCATAGAAGCGTCCCTTGCAGCTCCTCATTTGGTTGTGTTTCAGCATTATGAAATCCATCCTTCTGAGGGGCAATCAGGTCTTGCATTTTTTTATTCTCTAAATTTTGCATGCTTGCCTGGCTTAGTATTTCTGAAAGTATTTTTTTTAAGGTATTGTAACATATTTTTCACTGGAATCATGTGGTTCTGTCACTGCTCTTATAAATTAATCTGAAATTTAACCTTTAAGGTAACTGAGATGATATGCTTGTAAAAACATATTTTTTTGCTTTTATCTTATGTACCTCCTTAATCCTTTAATCTGATCCATTTATCTTGTTGTGACGAGAATAAGGTATAGCCTGTGGCTGGAGACGTGCAAAGACTGGAGGTGATGGGACCTCTTATTCACAAAACAGTGACTTGTCTGCAATCCCTAATTCAGTGTCAGACCTGAGGGTAAGGGTCTTTGTCACTATAATCCTGGTCAGCTGGACCAAACAGGTCTCTGCTTCTGTTCTAAAAATCTCTGGAAACCCCAAAGTCTTTTCCTACATGGACTAGGCTTTTTGTTTTGTTTTACTGACAAAGTTCTTGCACCTCGGGTTTTGCAGTGGCTGCGGTACAGTGGGAAGAGTTTGGGATATGATTCTAGTTTCTGTCTTTGGAGCGCTGCCCCAGCCTTGGACAAGTCGTGTCGCATCCCTGAACTTCTGTTACTCTCCTCTACAAAATGAGGACTCACAGTTAACAACTTCCCCAGGTACCTTCCAGGTACCTGGATCTACCTTGTGATCCTGAACCTTAAAACAGTGCTTTTTAAAAATTTATTACACCTCGCATGTGTTTCGGGGTGACCAGTAGAAACATGCTGGTTAGTCAATTTTACTAATAGGATCCCCAGTCCAAAGCAGGGGGTACTGGGCATTGGTCAGTGAGCGGAAACAGTCTTCTAGCTTGCACCCACCCAAACGAACAAAAAAAGTGTTCAGAACAGAGGCCATCAAGGCAGAGAAGAATGAACACAGGGCCAGAGGGAATAGAGGCGGGGGTTAACTTGGATCTGGGAGGGTATGAAGGATGGGCCCTGGAGCCTGGAGTGCATCCTAGTGGGATGTCACTTGGCTTGTAGCTAAGACTGGCTTTGATGTAGGCTTGCCATGGAGGCAGTGGGGGCTTCACTTCAGAGCTGACTCAGCCAAGTGCACTTTCTTATTTAAATGAGAGCTTTGGTGCTTTAAAAATAGGTACCACTTTTGAAAGCCAGCTGTGTTAGGTTAAAAAAAAAATTACCCCCGGCATGTAATTGCCAAACAGTTTCCTGGAACCAGGCAGTCATGCTGATGCTGGCCAAATGGTGCTCAGCTCCAGATGGGAGCAGAGTGGTAGCTGTCGGCGTGTTCCCCTGTGCTTGTGTTGCACACGTATAATCTTTGGACATGGGAATAATTGCACATTGGCATGCCTTTGGGGGAAGGGATCTATTGTTTGGTTCCATGATTTGTACTTAAAAGGGAAAGAGCAGTTAAACAGGCTTACCTGGTGGTAGCAGTGCTGTTCTCTTAACAGATTCCTAACTTCCATCCACACTTGACATGTAAAACCTAGTACAGTGCGCGTAGTAGCCAAGCAGGCTGTTGACCTGCTTTCTGACCCTGTCAAATCAATCTATGGTCCAGAGTGTGTTAATGAAATGTTATTGCAGAAGAGATTATGAGATAATTGGTATATCATGCAGCTATCACAATTTTCTTTCTAGTAACATAAATGCAGTTTTATCATTGCTTGTGCCTCAACTATTTAAGTGACTATTAAAGGGCTTGGAGAAAATTTTGGCTTGGTATTTATTTGCAGAAATGAATTCTGCTGAATTGGGTGGCTCCGAGTCGTGGTACCTAAGTGTTTTTAGGTCACAGCATCCCTTTGAGGATGTTGGCAGCTGCACAGCTTCTCCCCAGGAATGTGCGCATTTGCCTTTCACTTCAGGGGATTTGCAGATTCAGGCTAAGACCCCCTGCTTGAATGTCAGGCAGGTGAGGACTCAGTAGCAGTAGCTTTCCAACTGCAGCAGGTGTCGGAACCACCTGGAACGCTGTGAAAGAGGCTGCTGGGCACTAGGCTGGGCCAGGAGCAGCAGGGTCATTCAGCCCTTCTGTCAGGTTCCCAGGGTTTGATGGTGCTGCTGGTCGGGGGTCCTGCTATGAATGGGACACAGGCAGGGACGCTCGGTGGTGATGTGGAAGACATGACAGGACATTCCTGTCGCTACCAGCTGTGTTCAGATGGGCTCCTTCAGCACTCCGCGACAGTAACAGTGACTGTGATTGAAAAGCCAGCACTGGACTGCACGATACCTGGAGCACCAAGACTATCCTCAGACGCTGCGTTTCAGATAGGCCAGTCCATTACAACGTGCTTGAGGGGAGTTTCTCCAAACGGGGGGCGACGTTGCTGACTCAGAAACTACTTCCCCTGAGCGTTTTAGTTGTGCGTTTTTACGGTTTTCTTCCAGATTTGTGTTTTGGGGCAAATCAAATAGATTTTTCCTATTTTGGGTACAAGGTTTTTAGAACACACATGCACGCGCGCGCACACACACACATAAATAAAATGTTTCTTGGCCTTTTAAAGGCTATGGTACTGTTCTGGAAATAGCCCAGGAGGTGTTGTGGGGACACTAGATCCTGTTTAATCCCCACTGGTAGTGATAAGGGTGTCGAATACTTTGATATCAGGCTAACAAAGAAACTAGGAGTTGGGCTGGACAGAGAAAATGGGGAGGGGGCTGTGCTTATGCTGGAGCTTGATCTGGCACCTGGTGTCGAGCAGTGTCCCCGTGTCACGTGTCTCGCGTGCTGGCACACAGGCCTGTTCAGGGAGAAGTGGGTCCCTCTGGAATCCACTTGGGGTTCGTGCAGCCCTGCCTCCTCTCTGCGTACAGAAATAGACAGACAGAACCGGGCTGCCTGGGCTTGCTCCCTGGCAGTGGGCATCTTTGAGGGTCTAAAACCGGAACTTTTCTCAGTGTACTCAGAGCAACACACAAGACAGTCCCCAGAGAGGCTGCTCGCCCTGTTCAGCATTTGAGGACGACGACTTTGTGGTCCCAGCAGAGACTGATCTCTCTTTAAAAACAGTGGTTTCAGCATCCCATTCCTGGAGAGCACGCAGTGGCTTTCAGCAGTGTGCACTGCAGTCCTGCTGTCAAGCAGGGCTCTGGTAGCAAGCGTAGAAACCCCACGGAGAAGAGGAGTCCAGCTGTGGGCACGGGCAGCTCCAGCCCATGCAGATGAGGACAGGAACATTGCAGAGCTCCAGGAAGTGTTGGCCCAGCCCGAGAAACCTGCCTGGTGTCCTGCAGTGAATGGAAGACTCAGCTCCCCCCAGCTTTATGGAAGTATGATTTACAAATACAGCTTACATGTATTGAAGATGTACAAGTAATGTTTTGATGGACGTGCATTGTGAAATGATTATCACCTTCAAGCTCATTAACAGCTGTCACCTTGTCACCTTCTTGGTGTGTGTGGTGAAACTACTTAAGACCTACAGATTTCAAGTGTGCAATACATACTAATTGCATGCTATACGTTAGATCTCCATGACATACTCGCACCTGGAAGCCTGCCCTTTGACCACCGCCTCCTCATTTCCTCCAAACCCCACCCCAGCTCTTGGTAACCACTCTTCCCCTCTGTTTCTGTGACTTTGATTTTTTTTGGATTCAACATGTGAGATGCACTATTTGCCTTTCTGTGTCTGGCTTATTTCACTTAGCATGTCCTATAGGTGCATTCGTGTTGGATATGGAAGAATTTCCATTTGAGGCTGACTGCCATTGTATGTGTGAATCACATGTCATGTGTGCATCCATCCACAGACAGACACTGAGGTTGTCCCCTGGCTCAGCTGCTGCACATCACACAGGCACCTCCCAGACAGGTTCCACATCCTCCAGACGAACACCCAGAAGTGGGATCGCTAGGTCAGAAGGCAGTTCTATGTTCAGCTTTCGGAGGACCCTGCATACTGCTTGGAATTGGCATACTGCCAATTTCCCCACATCTGCACCCACTGCTGACTTCGATACCAGCTGTGCTGGCAGGTGTGAGGTGGTTTTGTGGTTTTGATTTTGTCTTCCTGATGATTAGTGATGCTACCACCTTTTCATACACGTGTTGGCCATTTGTAAGTCTCTGGAAAAATGCATTCAGGTTGTTTGTGCATTTTAAAATTGAGTGTTTTGTAGGGGAAGTTGGTTTTGTTTTTGTTTTGTTTTGTTATTGGCTATCCAGTTGTATGAGTGTCTTAGATTTTTTGGATATTAACCTTTTATCAGATATGTGTTTTGCAGCTATTTTCTCCCGTAGGTTGTCTTTTCATGTTGTTGATGATTTCCTTTGCTGTGCAGAAAGTTTTAGTGTAACTTAGCCCCAGCTTAGTTTTGCTGTTGGTGTCACATACAGAAAATTGGTGCCAGGGCAAGTCAGAAAGCTTTTAAGTCTTGAATCCATTTTGAGTTGATTTTCATAGATGGTGCAAGTAAGGTCCCATCTCCTGTATTGGTGTGGGGAGCCCATTTTCCCAGCACCGTGTATTGAAGGGCTGGCCTTTCCCACTGAATATTCTTCACTTGTTCGTCAAAGATGAGTTAGCGGTAAGATTCAAGATGTATTTAAATTAGGGAGGGTAACTTGCACTGTACTTTTTAGGGAGGAGGTAACTTGCACTGTATGTAACAGAGGAGGGCTGTTTTTGTTTATTTTGAAGACTAGGAATACTTTCCACCGAAGATGAGACCTAGCGAGCGAACAGAATGCCACTGTGTGACTCAGGTTGCAGGTACAATGGCTGCTGCTGTTCTTGTGAGAGTACAGAGCTTGAGGAGGTGTGAAAGCACACAGTGTCCCCTAAGTCTTGTCATAGCTTTTTATAAAATGAAAGTTTTTGTTCTTCATAATTTTGCAGTGTCTAACAAAGAAAATCTTTGCCTGCCCCCAAGTCACTGAGTGACATAAAGTTCGTGCTGCGAGAGTGTATGTTGTGACTTCCTAGGCTCCCGTCACAGGCTGGATGGATGAGCAGACCTGAGGATGGAAAGGCTGGGTGGGGAGCCGGCGACCTGCAGGTCTGGGGTGAGCTTGGGCAGGAGCCGGGACCGTGCGAGGGGCCTCGGGACAGGCAGCTGGGCTTCTGCTAGAACCCGATCCTCTCACTCTTTGTGTCTAGAAATTCTCGCTCCCTTCTTTCTCCATGCCTCCTGGGCAACTTCATCTCTTCTGGCTTCAGTGGCACTTGTACCTGATGACCCTCTCCTGAGCCCAGGTGGGTATGTCCACAGGCACCTCAAGTGACACGTGTAGAACTGAATTCATTCCCCTGAGCACGCTGCTTCCAAGCCCGCTTATACCTGACCACCGTCTTCTGACCTGACCGCAGTACGTCAGTGAAGGAACCTTGCCTGTCCCCAGTCTCAAATCCAGTCCACTTCTCTCTGGCCTCGGCGCTGATCCACCCTGCCGCCTGAGGGGTGGTTCTGGAACATGTCTCCCTCGTGTGACACCTGAGCCTGTACTGTCCCCATTCACTGCCCCACCTCGTCCCTTTGTTTGTGCACAGAGGGCAGGGAAAGCGGCCCTTGCAGCCTGGCAACTAACAGAGCTCATTAGGGGAAACGTACGAGGCACGTTTTGGGTGGTTGCAGATGAGTGAGTGGCTAGCGAGTGTGCTTGACCCGGTCAGGGCAGTGGCCCGTTGTGGGAGACGAGCCAGCTGTGGGGCCCTCGGGGGTACTAGCCTATGCCAGACACTCCAGTGTCGTCATCTGCCTCAGGACCTTTGCACACGGCGTGCCTGTGCTAATGGCCCATGCCCTCACTGGTGTCACCCTCAGGTTGAGAGGATCTGTGATGCCCTCCCAGGGCAGGTTAATGCGCCCCTTCGGGGTCCCTGTAGAATGCTAGCGTGTTCTTCCTGTGGCCTATGATCTTGGTAACTTGTCCCCCTTGTCCTGCTAGGTCACTCCTAGGGATGTATGTCGTCATTGGATTTCCCAGCATCTGCATAGCTGAAAGCTTAGTAAGTCCTTCGTGGATGAACAGATATCCAAACAGCAGAAGTAGGCTCAGAACTTGTTTTTGATGAAATTAATGTAAGATTCTTAGACCATGCAGCAGGGGAGGCTGACATGGAAGTGTTGAGTGTGAGGGGTGATGAAATCTGTCCTAAAACCACTTAGTGGCTGAGTCACTGGGTTATTAGAAGTATACAAAGACTGAGAATAGAATAGAAGAGAACATACCTGGTTTTTCTTGTATTTGACAGCTCCCTCATTTAGCCAAATGGCAAATATAAATTTTCAAAAGCTAGTCTAGCAGTCACTGAAGTAGCATTTATGAAGTTTTCATAAAACAACTTAGAGTCATTCTATCAACTATTTAAATCACCCTGAAAGTCTGTAAGCTGTGGGGGTGAATTATGTGTCAGGCTGCTACTCCGTGGTCCCTGCACAGGATGGGCCCCGTGCTGTTGTCCCCTGAGCAGGACGCACGTCGTGCCACCCAGCCTGCACCTCGGGAAGCGCTGGGGAGGCTCGGCACTCGGTCAGCTTTCACAGATGACTTGTTTTTATTATTTATGTATGTGTGTGTGTGTGTGTGTGTGTATTTAGTTAGTTATGTTTTCACCTTTTTTGCAACTAGCCCACATGCTACAGAGCTGTGAGGCCAGCTTCAGTGTTACCTTCCCTCCTTTTACCACCACCAAGACTGATGTGATCCGATCTCCCATCAGATCCGATGGAAGAGGGAACCGGAGGGTGGGTGGTTTAT